ACAGGGCAGGGTCCCCTCATGGCGGGGAGCAGGGGGGAGCGTGGCCGGGCAGGGCTGACCCACCGCTGCGTGGACTGAGGGGAAGGGCGGCAGAGGTCCTGCCTGTCTCGGGCCGGAGGAGGCGCTGAGGGCGCACCGGAGGGGCGCGGGGGAGAGGGCGGCTTCGGGCCGTCCTTAGTGCAGCTTCGCCGGCGGACAGGTCTGGGGGGGCCCTCGCTGGAGTCCGCAGCCCAAGTCCTGCCTGTCCGCTACCCTGCAGTTACTACTTGCTGGGATCCGGCCCGGGGAGGGGCCGCTGGGTGCCTCCCGTCTGTGGGGCCCTGCTGCTCCTACAGTGAGGGGAGAAGTTGATTGGCCTGGGAACTACGGGTAGTGTGCCCTTATGTAACGGTCCAACTACACGGAGGAGCTGTTTAATCCAGGTAACACTGCTTGCTGCCCGTGGGGTGTTGTGTTGAGTAGCTCTGGGTTGGATCGTACCCTTGGCTTTAGGCAGAAATCTCGATGTCCTTATGAAGTCGATGCGAAGCCGTATATTTGAGTGGTAATATCAGTGCCTGGGCTTGCGTTTAGGTCGTGTCTGTTTGCCCATGATACAGAGGAGGGTAAGAATGCTCCTTCTTTCAGTAAACTGCCTTCATAGCTTCAGAAGGACAAGTGCCTGTAGTTGTGAGTTTGCTATTCAGCAGTATGACTGTGACTGATATAATAGCTGGTGGCAAGTATGGAAGGCTTTCACCTGGTCCAAAGACTAATTAGAGTGAGTTTATATGGAAGTACGATGTCCACGTGCAACAAAGTGTGTCTTCTGCATCTGATTATTATTTTTCTTATATTTCCTAATTTTCTCCTTTTTATAATACGCTGTTTTGTAAGTGACCATCCAAGGCAGTGACTAGATAGCATAAATAGCTTTTATTGCAGGTGTTGGGTTGGTTTTTTTTGTAAATTGAGCTTTTCTCAGGTTTAAAACCCCCGTATTTTAGTAGCTATTTTAGAATAACTAAATGCTAATTGAATTGGTATTCTTGAAGAAGCCATTAACAAACTGGCATTGCTTACGACGCTTAGCAGAGGGATTGGTTGTTGCTGTTTCATAAAATTGTTAGCATATCGTATTCAGAGTTTAAATATCTAGAGTTTGACTTGTGCAGGGGAAAATAAGCTAGCTCTTAATTCTTGGCCTCATGTTACCTATAGCTTTTCTCTCATTCTGCAGCTATGGCAAAGTGAAACGTTAAGGAACAAAACAAGGCATCCCAGGTGGTCTTCTAATTGTTGAAGCAATTAAAATACAACAACCTGATAACACTAATAAGGTTGTTTGTATGAATAGACTGCTTGTTAGTATATGCATTTATTCAGGTTTTTCTTAATGTTGAAGTGCTGAATACGTTTCTCTTTCCAGATTTCATAAGGAGAAATTGATGCGGGTTGGATGTTGACCTTTTCTCCTGAAAGGTTGATTTATCTCAGAGAAGATAAGTTAGAAGTTTAATATTTCCAGTACAGCTCTTGTATCAGTACAAGAACTAAACTAGGTTTGACAACAACTGGAAATACTTTGATAAGCATATTGAAAATGTAGAAGAAACAGCAGCTATTCAAGGTCAGAAGACTTATTGAACACAAATTATAGTAGGCTAATGCTTTTAGAGTTTATCACAGAGTTCAAAGTAATTACCAGATGAAAAGAAAGCTTGATACTTGGCCATTGTAATAAAAGTTGTGATAATTTACAGTACAGTTGAGCATTGTATTTGTAGACTAAGTTAACTAGCAGCTAAAAAAAGGCATAATACCAGTTGTGTGAATAGCAAAGTAGGTCTTGCAATACGTAGTTTTAACTGTGTTAAAATTACTGTTGTTATTTTGATGTCTCCAGTTTGAAAAGGAATTCACTGGAAGATCAGGTGTTGACAAATATGAAACAATTTTCTTCCTGTTCTCAGAGTGTTTCATCATTAGACAAGTGAGAGCACCTGGACACCTGGACTAATAAAAAAACCTCTAACTGTGGTACCTGAAGCCTGTGTTGCTGTTGTGTTAGTGTGCTGTGAACGGGCTCCACTGATGTGCAGTATTGGTGTTTCATGTGTGCTGTCAAACCATTTTGTAAATTGTGGTTTGGTACAGATATAGCCTAGTTTAATTTTAGAGCATGCCTTCCAAGGAAACATTGATTTTGCTATTTTATGTATACAGGGAGCTAACTGTTCCAGTTTTGAAAAGTTGTTGGAAAGAGATGGAGATTTTCTTTTGCTCTTGTTACTCTAAAGTTATTTTTCTCTTAATAAAACCAATTCTAGATTTTGGGGAGGGTTTATTTCTGAAACTTTATAATGTTCTAAGTAAACTACAGTGTTTTCAAAGATGTTCTTAGAATGGGGATTTTGTCAGAGTCATCTGGCAAAGGTGTGACCTCCATTAGTTTGCCATCTTAGTTGAATAAAAAGACTTAAGCTTTTTATTTTTCCATGGGATTTGACACTGAGTGTAACTACTGTGTGTTTGTTTGGAACATCTTCCCCTGAAAAAGCATTTTCAGTTTTGCACAGACGGTAAAAATATTTTTGTAAGCAGTAAATAGCTTCATGAGGTGGTCATCAAAGTAGTTTTCTACTCTTTACCTTCTGAGTCCACAGAAAATTTCTTGGATCTTTCCTACTGCTTTCAGCTTAATAAATTATTGCTGTTCACACAAGGTTTATTCTGTTTATACAGTTTGATAATATTGGAGCAAAATGTTCAGTTAACTTTTTGCCTTTTTATATTATAATGAAATATACTGTTTGTTTTGTGGTATGGTGTTGCCTGTAAGGACCGCAAAATTGTGTGATCAATGAGAAAATGTGAAATTTGTAATGAAATCATTATATATTAAAATGCATAGGGGGTTCATTTCTGTAAATATTAGTAATAACTAGTTTTGTCTTCTGCAATTCAGTTGTCAGTCATGTGGGCTGTGAGCTTTCTTGGCTTTGTGAAAAACCTGTAATTGCACATAGGCTCTTTCATAGTTGTTTGCCCAGGTCTGAAGTTAGATAACATTAACAAGGCAGGCATAACAGCGTGGAAGACTTTGGGTAAAGTAACCTCTCTAAATGAGTTTTACTTCATTGCCATATCTGCTCTGCAGAATTATGACAGCCTATTTAGTGCCTCAGGAAAAGGGGATCTACGTAAGGTGAATTTTCTACTTAAATGCTTTATTGCCGTACCCTCACCTCTTTATTCCCACAGGGAGTTGGGGGAAGTACATTTTCCAGGCCTCCTTTATGCTTCATAAAAGAGCAGAAGCCTACAATTTAGTTTATAGTGACTTTTACATCAAGCTTGGTTATATAAGAATATCTGTTTTGTAAAGTACTGATTTATCATGCATAAAACAGATGATTTCATAATCGCATCTATGTGAAATCTGTAGAGAAAAAAAAGCTACAAAATATTTTTCGTCTCCTTTTGCACATAACCTTTTAAGACTTAGTTCTTCTAAGCCTGTGCAAGATACAAGATGTGTGGGCTTTCTGTTTTATATGCTTTTGAGGCCATTATGTATGTCAGTGAATTTCCTGTCTGGCTGGAGATAGTAGGTAGCTAACAGCAGTGTTTGGTTCCATTCCCTTAGATACGGTCTAAAGCTTTCAAACTTATGTTTGAAGGGCCTTTCAGAAATGTTTGCAGTTGTTTAAGAAGCTATGCCTGAGAGTAGTTAGTTTAGATTTAATAAAATTTATCATACAAAAGTTCATAGAATCAGGGCTTCTGTCTTTCACTAAGGTGCTGTCAGGGTCTCATCAGGAGTGTTGCTGTAGCTTAGCCTGCTGAGTGAGTTGGGCCTGTCTTCTCTGCTTGCACAGTCCTGCCTTCCTCTCCTGTGCTGGCAGCAGCGCCTCTGCACTTGTGTGCACTCTTCTTTGTAGAGGTAGTCTTAAGCTAGTGCGGTACCACGAACCAGCTACTGTCCTGGCACAAGAAGAGTGAGGGGACCTGGAAAGTTCAGACTTGGTTTCGCAATGCATTTACAGCCTTTCTATACAGGTGCCTGCACTTATTTTTCCTACTATTTCTTAGTAGAATTTACCTGTGAAGTTACTAACTTATTGGTGCAAAAAGTACCTATTCCCATGCCTCTAAAGAGACTAGCTGGAGTGTTCTTACACTTTGAAAAGAATTAGAAAAATAAGATGACAATGCATGACGGGTTTTTTTTTAAGCCATTCAACTGAAGAGTGTTTGGTAGGAGAATACTTGGTGTGCAACTCTGGTGTGCTAATATACCATGTGTTCATAGTTTGGAAAAATCTTGCTGCTCATTCTGCAGAAAATTTTATATGCTGAATCGTCAACAATTTCAGAGCTGAAAGTGTTAATCAGGCTAGTATTGATTCAGCATTGTGTTTGGACGTGGACTTAAGCTCAGAAAAAGTGTTAAGATTTGATATATTCTAATTCTTATTAAGGTATGTTCTAGAGTATTTTAATAATGAGAAATAAATTATTTGCTATGAAATGACATTTTACTAGTCTTCTTTTGACTGCCATCTTTTTCTCTTTAGAGGATTTTTCTCTAATTAATACTGCATTTCTTGATTAAAAATAAATTTTAATGTATTTTTATTAGCTCACAGGAGTCCTAGATGATTGTTTATGTGACATAGAAAGCATCGATGACTTCAATACTTTCAAGATCTTCCCCAAAATACAGAAACTGCAAGAACGTGATTACTTCAGATATTACAAGGTACAATTAAAATGGTACTTTCCTGAATAATTTAAATAAAATCCAGAAAATATAGGAAGGATTACAGATCAAACTAGTTTGTCTATTTTGTCTTTTAGGAGCACATGGCTCTTGAATTTGGTTGTAGCAGATTTTCAGTCCCTGACAGTTATGTTGGTAATAAGTCATGTTTGCCGTGTTAATCCTGGAGTTAGTGACAGTAAATTATGACTGCTTTCATTCAACTGATAAGTGGTAATTTTAAAGGTAATATCTTTGCATTGCAGCATCTAGAAAAGGATTATATATTAGCAACTTTCTGACGGCACAGTACTTGTAAGAAATGTGTGCAATTTGAAATGGAAATGCTGCAATTATTTCCTTTTCTTGTAAGTTGCTGTTTTAGTTCTAATTTTAGTTTTTGCTATTTAGAGAACTGTTATTCCTTTGAAAAATAGGTACAATTACTCAATTTTCAAGTAGTATGTAATATCTCAGTTTTAAAACTCTAAACATTTTTTTTTCACTGTATTAGAATCTGATGGGCAGAATAAGACTTTGAAGCCTGATAATTCTGTTTTCAGATATGCTTAACTTAAGAATGAGTTTGCATTTTGACTGAGCTGATTATAGAGTTGGCTGCCTCTGGAAGAAGCAGGCTATGCTCCTTTAGGGCAGACTGTCCTGCTTCTTTCCTACTTTTAGCTCTTGAGCTTGTCTGCGCTTGAGGCCAAAGCATCTCTAACCTGGTAGATTTTTAGTTTGGATGTTTGGGTTTGGTAGTTGGTTGTTTTGGGGTTTTTACCCCAGGATATAGCAAGTTATGTAGCTGATCTGGAATCAGAAAAGTATTAAACTCATGCAAGATGGGGTTATGAATGTGAGGAAGGAGGAAAAAAACCTAGAATCTTCCCTTTCTAGTCTGACCAAGCAGTAATGTGTAACTTCACCCTGAATCTCCTCCTGCTACATGATACAGTTCTAACTTCACTTTTCAGGAGAAACAAGGTATGTGCAACTTCATGATAATACATCACATAGTAGTAATTAGATTTTCCAGAGGCCACAGAAAGATACAAAAAGTATTTGAAGAGGAGGAGCAACAGGTATACAGGGTTTTATACAACAGTAATTTCATCCTGCAATTTTAGAGCTAATCTTAATTTCACTAGCAGTTCTGCAGATCATACTTTAATGATGTGTTGCAATCCTCCCTCATCTTTCATACTGATCTTCCTAATAGATGGGCAGTTACAAGGGCCAGTGTGCAGTCCACCCATCACCACACATTATTTAGTATTTCCAGGTGTGACAGGGAGGAATTTGTGTTGAACAAAGTGAATAAGTAAATTGGAATGTCTTTCCCTTTTCCCCTCCGAATAAACAACAGAGTTTTTTTGATATCCCTGCACAAAATCATAGAAGTGCTGTTAAGCACATAGATGGATGTGGAAATTGTGAGGGAAGACAGTGATCATCTAGGTCAACTACAGTGTAGCTAAATACTGAGTAAACATAGGGGGAGTATACTTGTCTGAGAGTGAAAACACTCCTATTCTGAAGTAATTTAATTTCTAATAGGAATTTGGATCATGAACTTCTGTAACTATGGTCACAGTATTCCCACTGTATTACTAGTTCAACAGCCATAAAAGAATTCACACATTAATGTATAATACTGAATGGACTAGCTAGTTTTTCTTTAAAGGCTGAAGAAAACTTTGATTTTAAAGTCTTGCTGAAATTGTGCTGGGTGGTTTCTAGATAGTTAGTGCAACACTTATCAATAAAAGAAAAAAGGAATAAGACATTTTGTCTCTGTATAGTTTTATACATAAAACCACACAAACTATAGAAGCCTCATGATAAGGAATCTAGCTTTTAATCTGTGGGAAGCATTGAATAATACTGTAAACAATAATAATGAAATCTAATACTTCAGACCCTGAAGAAAGTAGAAGGATGTTCTATGTAGTCAGTGCATGTTTGGTATTGATTAAAGTACAAGTGCTATACAGCCTCAGTTTGTCTCAGAAGTGGTGGGGGTGTGTGTGTGTGCACTGGTTTTTAGCACTCTTGAATCATTCTGGGACTAGTATATCTTGATTTGCAGGTGTTCTTTTTGAATTCATTTGCAGTTTAGACAACAGTGTTCTTTTATTTACAGTGTGCCTATCTGTAAGAACAGTGGCTGCCTAGTTATTTTTGTCTTCCTAAGTGTTAGTGGTTTTTATTGTTAGTTTACTTTGAAGAAGCTTGTAGTCTAACTATGTTAGCTGATTGGGGGTTTTGGTAGAAATTGTGGGAGGGACACGTTTTAGGTAATAGGTCTTACTGTGAAGGTAATGTAAAATGTAACACTTTTGTGCTTTATTTAAAAAAAGATGGTGAGTGAACAAGTATGAAAGATTCTAAAATTCCACATATTTTTTTTCTAGGGATGGTGTTTGTGGATTAACTAGAGGAATTGGAATGTGGATTCTGGATTGAATAGAAGAAATTGGGGGGGGTGGGGAGCAACCGAAAATCTCTGCTTTTAATGTATCTGTGCTAGCATGGCTTGCACTGTGACTAGAAGGTAGTTGTCATCACTCCTAAGAAGTCATACCATCTGCTTAATGTCTTGTTAGGGTTTTTTTTGACTGAGGAATCACTTTAACATTTTAACACTGAATTAATAATTCCCAGTCATGCTGAATAAGTACATCAAAATGGAAACCTGGAAAGCAGTCTTTCCTTCAGATGTTATAAAGCAGTTAACTTTGTATGCATGTTTTGAAAATACAAAAAGAACTTACTTGCTGAAAGGTTTGGTAAAGGAATTCAGTATATTAAAGGGCAGTTGAGCAAGTTTTCCTCTTTGGAGATCTTTTGTGCTAGTGACAGAACATTTGAAGAGTTTTTCTTCAGACAGGACATTTGAGTTCAGTTGCCAGTTCTTTGCCGGGAGACTGCTCTGACACTACTGTACTAGATGTTTATGCTTTGTTTCCTGTCTGTTTCTCCTTATGTAAAGTGAAAGTGTGGGATATAAACTACATGAACTAGAAAAATATTCCTACATATAAGGGTAAAACGTGTTTTTCTGAAGACTAAAATGTTTGGTCTCAATCTTCTAACCTGTTAGGTATAACAAAACCACTGTTCTTGACAGTGTGTGAACCATTAATTTACTGTACAGCTTGTAGGTATTCTTTTCCATAAAATAGCATAAAGATTAGTTTTCTGACTTAAGATTTATAGATTTCACTAATTTCTGTAAGCACATTTATAATTTTTAAATTTTTGTGTTGAAACTGCTCTAGGACCTGATGCCATCCTTGGGCTATCAGGCTTCATTTTACAGTGCATTTTATATAACTATTACTGTGTCTGACTACAGAATCAAATTCAGTATCTGCAGCAGTTTCAAGTAAGAAGTGATACATAAAATCATTCAAGATGTAGTTTGTGGGTTATAAGTAGTGACTTCAGTTGAATGTCTTGATGAATAGTATTTATCAATAGAGGAAAATTAGTACAAGCAGTGCTAAAGGAACACAAAGTAAAAGAATAGAGGTAATTTTTGTTTTCCATGTCTGTTTGTTTATTTGAAAGTTTTAAAACTGATTTTATCTGAAAAATAGTTGCTGCTGAGAATGAATGTTTTATATTTTGTTTGTAATGTTAGATTTCAAAGATTATCCTGCACTTCTGCAGTGTTTCTGGTTGTTCATGCAGGAGAACCTTTAGTCTGTAGTCTTCAGTTTAGGAGTGATGAGTAAGGTCAAAGTGTTTTTTATCACTAATGTTTGTTAGTATGTATAAGGCTGATGTAAAGGAAAACTGGGTTTTGTTTTTTCTTTACTGACTTTTACATTGACAAACCAGGTGAAGTGTAGTGAAGTGTTTGAATCTCTTGCCATATGTAGGGTATACTAATATACGTGATACTCCTTGCCTTTATTGTGCCATTTGATGACAAATAGGAGCACTAGTCATCAGAGGATTTGCTGGTAATGTTTCTGTATGTTCTCTTCATTATTCATATTTGTACTTTATCAGCTCTCTAATTTGAGACCATTATGATACTCATTCTTCCTTGACTAGCTGTGATATGTAGTAATATATTGCCTGGTTTTATTGCTTGAAATCTGAAATCATCCAAGCACTTACTTGAATTAGTAAACTTGTGCACTAGTCTGTACTCCATCAAATCTGCTCTGGGGCTCCCAGCATAGGAAGGACATGGATCAACTTGACCAGGTCCAGAGGAGGCCATGAAGATGATCAGGGGCTGGAGCACCTCCCTTATGAGGACAGGCTGAGAGAGTTGGGGTTGTTCAGCCTCTGGAGAAGGCACTGGAGACACCTTATAGCGACCTTCCAGTACCTAAAGGGGGCCCACAGGGAAGGTGGAGGGACTCTTTATCAGGGAGTGTAGTGATAGGATGAGGGGTAATGACTTTAAACTAAAAAGAGGGGAGATTTAGATTACATGTAAGGAAGAAATTCTTTACTGTGGGGTGGTCAGGCATGGGAACAGGTTGCCCAGAGAAGCTGTGGCTGCCCCCTCCTGGAAAGTGTTCAAGGCCAGGTTGGACGGGGCTTTGAGCAACCTGGTCTAATGGAAGATACCCCTGCCCATGGCAGGGAGGTTGGAACTAGATCTTTAAGGTCCCTTCCAACCCAAACCATTCTATAAAACTATAACCATTTTAGAGCTGCATTATGTCTGATGTGCCTTCTTTTTAGTAGTTTATTTACTGCTTTGAAGTTATATTAGTGGTGAGAGATTTAAGTTGTGCTTTAATATAAGATGTGTTTGTGTCCACTGGAGACCATTATCACTAACAATTCCACTGCAGCAAGCTTCAGCTTATATATTCAGAGGGAGAGTAGTTCAACCAACCAAACCTTTGCACACCCCCCACAACCTTAAAATTACTAAATTTAACCCTTTTTCCTTGTATCTTCTCTTTAATTTGAAAGGATTTCCTGATACTGAGAACTCTTTCTTTTAAAGTTGCCTTATGTAAGTATTGATTGTAAACTTTTGGTTTTGTATGTTTAGGTCAACCTAAAGAGACCATGCCCATTTTGGGCTGATGACGGCCATTGTTCTATCAAAGATTGTCATGTAGAGCCTTGTCCTGAGGTATGGATCAAATAATATAAAATAGAAAAAGGTTATTTGGTTAAAAAGTTTATTAATTTGCAGTGACTAAAACTAACAATATTTACTAATGAGAACTTAATTTGTCTCCCTTTTACCTATATTTATTTTACATTTCAAAAATAAAAATATAACCAAAGTATTTTAAGGTCTTAGTCATTTTACCAATAAAACGAATAACTTTAAGTCTCTTCTAAACTCTAGCACTGTTTTGGATATGACACGTTGAGAAGGTAAAGGAGAAAGTTAATTATTTAAAAACAAATTTGCTTTGACTTCTGTAGGAGTGATACTTAATTTGTAGATTTTAATCAAGCGTAATTATTTCTATGAACAGTATAAAACTGTGATATATTTTTTGCTTTTAGAGCAAAATACCTGTTGGAATTAAGGCTGGGAGCTCTAATAAAGTAAGTAGTAATTTATTTTCTAACTTCTCTCTGAAGTAGCTGTGTGACTTTATTACAAACCTTCAGTCTTGGCTTAGTGATGAAATTGTTACCATAATTGATCAGCTCTTGTATGTGGTGTTATGTTTCTACTTTTATAGTGAACAGTGTTTCCAATATAGCTGGTACTGCCATGCCATTTTGAGCCTGTCATAGCTTGAGAGCTGGTGCAGACTGAATCAATGAATGACCAGGGACAGCAGTATGTGGCCACAGAATGCCAGATACAAAATGCTTTGTTCATTTCTGAGTACAGGCCACCTTCTATAATGTCACGGGCTTATGCACAGCTGCAGTAGCAGTGCAGTCTTTTGTAAGAATCATATATAACCACAGCCTCTTAATATTAAAAACCTGAATGATTACATGTAGTTTTGCCATGTTTAATCTTGAGCAGGTCATCAGTCTAAAGATGATTTGATCATTAGTCTAAAGACAATTTAGACTAAAGTGGTCAGCACAAGATACAGTAGTCAGTCTGTGCTGTTGGCTTTTGCTTGCTCCTCTCCAAGCCATCCTTCCTAGATCACCAAGTGATTTTAGCAAAGCCAAAAGTGTAAAGAGAGTATATATGCCTAAAAAAAGAGGTCAGAGCAGAAAGACAAACAAACCATCCCTGACCACCAAATCCCAAATACAGTGCCCAAGAGTGGGGATTTTAGCAGTTAATGAGATAAAGGTGCCCTAGTGAGAGATCTTCCTGTTGAGTGCCTTGACTGTGTTGTAGACTCACACTGACTCTTACTTAACTACTGTGTCTCCATCCTTCCCAGTACTTTCCGCCTCATTGGGCAGCTGTAATTGCTGCTTGCCTTACCTCACTGTAGTTCACCATACCATAAATGACTTTACACCAAGAGAGATTAGCAACGATAGCTGAGAGGAACGTTTCATCATGAGTTGATGACTTCTGTATCCTGCTGTCATAAACACTGCAGGCAAGTCTGTCCAAACTTCAGCTCAAGAAGTCTTGTCTCCTGTTCATATGTATATCGTTAAGCTCACTCTGAAGTAAAGTGTGCCTCTTCATTTAAAGGTTTCTGGTGATCAGAGAAGAAACATCTTTCTCACTGACATGACTTTAAATGTCAGTCATTCACCATTTCAGCACAAGCAGCAGTAGTCATTCTCAGAAAACTTTGGCACTATCTCTGGGCGGAAGATCTTGGGTTTCAGCTGGATAATCTGTTGCCTCTCCTCTGTTTCAGTGACTCTGTTCTCTTCCAAGCTTCATTGTAGAGAAACTTACTCCTGGAGTACCGTAATGCCTCCTAAAGAGGTATTTTAAGACTTCAAAGACTGTTTTAGAAAGGATTCTTTTAGTAGGCATTTGAGCTTCCTGATTGATTAATCTTGAGAGCCATAAGAAATATGTTAATAGCCAAAGAGTATGCTGTTCTTAAGATATTTCACATGAGCATACTGAATTGGATTTTGGATGTGAATGATCAGCCACCTTTTGCTTCACCACAGTAAGGAAACTGGTATATTTCCTGGTGTATTTGCTACAGTTGTTTCCTTTGAATTGCCTTGTAGATTGTTGCAACCAACTACAGTACTGAAAGTTGGGCAATTCTGTACCTTTAATCTGTAGTAGAACAAAGACACGAATATCTGCTGCTTCTTTGTCAGAAAATGAAGTATTTCTGCAGGAAAATTGTCATCAGGACTGACATAAGTCTTACCTACACCATTTTCTTACTACTTATGATTCAATTAAAGACCTTTCTTACAGCCATGTAAAAATTGACAATCTCATTAAATATCCTTTTTAAGGAAACATCAAACTTATTTTAGTATGAATGTTCTATTTCAAGGACTCTACAAGTACTGTGCTATTAGCCTGTGCTTGGTCCATTTGAGAAAGCCCTGCATCTTGTTGATTATCCTTAAAATGTTGATTTAAAGAAAAAAAATAAAAATATGTTTTCCTCTGTGGACATACTGTCCAGTTGCTGTCTTTCATCCTGATAGTGTCTGCCTTGGAAAGGTGAAAACAATCAAAGGCATCATTTTAATCATAAGAGCTATAATCTCTTGAGTAGATATACTCAGGGTAGAATCCTGTGGAAAAATTTTCTGTGGTCTAAGTGCTTGGCTTCTGTGCAGTTTCCTATTGCCCTTTTCTCCTAATGTAGATGAGTTTGTAAACTTCTAGCTTGATTTAGGCTTTCATGGGGCATTTTTTTGTTTGTTTACTGAACCATGGAGAGAAGAGTTCTTTTGAAAGCTCATCTAGCCACAAAGACCAGGGTTACACTTGCGCAACTTCCCCACAGAAGTGCAGTTAGTAATAGAGGATCTCTTTTTAATTCTTGGCACCAACATAAGCTTTTTGTAAGTGTTGGAGAGGCAAAAAGTAGTTTCCCTTTCTGTAGTCTTGTTTCGTTTGAGCTGTAATCACATTTTGGGGAGATAGATATTAAAGAACTGCTGTATGAGTCTTTGAAGCAATGATGAACAGGATGCAGTAACTTAAGGTTACAATATTTAATTTATTATTTTACTTCCTGCCCACTTATTTTCTGTTTTCTCCTGGAAGCTGCTCCTAGGAGATCCTGTTTTGGGAGGAAGAGATACTTCATCGTGACCTGTGTCACAGAGTACTGATCCATAGCTGTTGCTGTTAAACACTGGACAGTAGTGAAGCCTGGAAACCTGTTTTGAGACTCAAATGTTCATTCTGTTTGAAACCTTGAATTTAGGTTTATATTCTTGGCAGTAATTTTTTTTTACTTCAGGGTAGGGATTGGTTTGCAACTCTAGACATGCAGAATGTTTACTTCAGCGTCTCAGTATGTTACTTCATCAGCAGTATCTGTTTCATTCTAGGTTAGATCCATTCCTTCCTTGTTCAGATTTTTCATTTAACATCCATATGATGCTGAAGAATGAGCCCCCACAGCTGGCAAATCCAAGAAAATTGAGTGAGAAGTTCCTTCTAGAGTAAATAATTGTTACGGGCAAGGCCCCTAACAAGGTTTAAATTATTTGGATTTTTTAATCTCCTTCATTTCTCTGGTCTTCAATAGGTTCTGCTGTTTTTTTTTTTTCTTGTATTGATTCGGGCAAATGCATTTTTAAAGCAAGTCATCTTGCTTACTCATCTGAACAGTTTGAATTAAATCCTTTTTTGAGAAGTATTGTGATACATATTGTGGTGGTACTTTGCCTCTGGCATCTTGACCACAAGTCTGTCCTCAGAAATAAACTATTTTCTTCCTTTTAAAATCTATCAAATTATTATTGTTGTTTGCTATTTCTGAGGGCTGACCAAAGCCTTTAGCTTATGTTTTTATTTTGAGCTGGTTTTGGGTAGTAATCCTTCATGTCATTATGTGCCCTGAAGTGAAAGGAAGCCAGCAGTGTAGCTTTATATAAACTATTGGTTACTCAACATTAAATCACTTTCTTTGTTTCTTAAGGACTGTGATAATGTGGAAATCTGTGTAAACTTAAGGCTCAGTCTGCAAGCACACACACAGAAAAAAAAACCCAACCCCAACACCCCCAAAAAGAGGAAATTTGGTCTTGTTTATCTTTTGAGAGGACAGATACTATCTATTATGTTCCAAAACTGTTAGAGGGCTTTTTTGAGCTTCAAGCTGGCAAACAATAAAGTCCCTGCTGACATGACTGTATTATTGTAGAATAGTGGAATTTAATCTTTTATTCTTCAAATGTTTTCCGCAGAAGTATTCTAATAGTAAGTCTATTTTAGTAGTTTACTTTTTTAAAAAAATAATGTAGATTCAGAGTTCATCTTAAATACTTAAATTCTGGCTTTAATATAATCAAAATGTCAGTTCAACTGGAAAAGCCTCTCTTTCAGTCCTGTGCACATCTAAAGCATGCCAATGAATAGGATTAAATGAAACATGAGGGGAGAATGACCAAAACTTGATAAATTTTCATACTGAAATGACCAATGAAAGTTGGGGTATGGTTATGCTTGCAAAATACGAGGTGTGTTTATAGGTATGACACTGCTTGTCTTCCAGGGTCCTTTTACAAGATTGCAAATAAGTATCTAAAACACTTCAGAACTCCATTTAATTTAAATAAACAAAACAGAAAAGCAAAGCAAACAAAATTTTAACATATTTAGCTGAATTTTCTATGGTAGTTAAATCCACATATCGAAACTGGTCTGATGAAATTAGGTTAAGAAAAATACAAATGTTCTAGAATTACTTATTGCTTCTAGAATCAGAATTTTCCCTGATACTAGCCAATCACTGTTAAACCTAGAAGCACCTGTTCTCAGAGATTTTTAGCTCTTTCATTTGTATATTAACTCTCTTACAGTATTCAAAAGCAGCAAATAATTCCAAAGAATTGGAAGACTGTGAGCAAGCTAACAAACTGGGAGCAGTTAACAGTACCTTAAGGTATGCTGTGATTTACAACAATAGTACAAAAATAGTAACAAAGGGACATTTCATTTTGTCAGTGTTGTTTTTGCAATGTGCTGGTTTTTGTTCTTCATTCTTTCCATAGCCTATTAGAAAGTAAATGTGAAATGATGCAAGAACATCTGAAGGTAAAGGTATTAAGTGATAAGTAGACTTTCTTTTTTTTTTTTTAAAGTACACTTTGAAAGAGGTATCTTACAGCATCAAGAATCAGAGGAAACTTGCAAATAAACCCACCTTTTTTCCTACTTTTTACCAGTATCAGTCTTTGTTCTTGATGACTGTGCTGGGTTAAGGGATTCTGTCCTGCTCTGTCACTCTGTTACACTGACATGCCTGTTTGTGATCATTCAGTGAACTAGATCAGGGAACTTGTGAGTTACTTTTGTTGTTGGCAAAGTTATTTTTGGCTTGGATCAATTCCCTGATCTTGCTTATTGTATGGCACAGTCAAGGTTGGGTGGGAGGAATTCTGCAGGATGGTGTTGCCCCTGAGTAGCAAAGTGTGTGGAACAGCACTTAGAAAAACTTGCATTCTACTAGATTATCCACCTTTAAAAAGTAAAAATAAAAAAATTAGTTCTTTGCTTTTGTTGGGGAGATATGGTGTCTTTGACCATGGATTTCAGCTGTTCTACCCGATAGAGATGTTGAAACTCTTTCCTGTCATCTGAGGAAAATGGGACTGCCATGGAAAAACAACTGCTTCTGCCTGGTGTGTGGTGTTTTAAACCAAACTGGGTAGAGCCCTTATCCAAGGTTTTTAAAGGGGAAATAAGAAACCATTAAATCTTTCACTCTTGTAGGGCAAAAGAATATGAAATTGATTACACATAAGGAGAGCTAAAGAGAATGCATTTTGTGAGAGCAGGATAGATGATTAAAGTTGAGAGAGGGCAGGTAATGAATCCTGCAAGTGTGGGAAGAGTGTATGCATTTTAGGCAAACTGCCTTGTTCTTTACCTAGCAGTGCATCATCCTCATGAGTTTGGCTTATCAACTGTATTTCATGTTATTATTAAATCTTGCCTGCTAATAATTACTGGAGAAGTTCCTCACCTAATGCAAAGTATAAAGTCTCCTATTATGATTTGGCAGAAGGTTAGAACTGCAGTTTGTTACAGAATTGCCTCAGTAGTATTGAGCTAGTACTAATTTGATCAGAGTAGGTTGTTTTCATTATTTCAAGGTGCTTTACCCTAGAGTAGAGTTTCCAGTCTTAGCTTTGCTTACATTTTGCTGTCAGTAGTGTGGCATAAGTAGTTCTGTGCTGCACATACGCACAGAAGAAAGCATTCAGATTTTGGCACTATTTTTGTTGCGTAGTGTGAGAACTTCAAAGTACTTGCCTCTGTGGTACAGTACACTTTCGAAAGTGCTAGGCTGAGTGGAATACCATTATTATTTAAAAGGTTTAAGACAAATCATATTCCTAAAGTAATTTAGCTTGGAAGGAGTGTTTAGACATCTGGTCTCCCACTAAAAAGCAAGGCTAGCTATTGTAGATGTGATTAAAAGTACAGGTTATCAAAATATGATTCCCCCCCCGCTCCAAGTGACAGCTGCTGAAGTGGTACTTTGAGAAGTGTTAAAAATGTATGCTATGAAAGTATTTTACCAAGCTCTTACTGAAGGAGAAGTCACTGCCACGGCACAGTTTGTTCAAATAATGATGGTGAAATCTTTTTTGCTGTCTTAACATCAAGACAACTTTATAAGTATTGCAGTTGATGCCTGCTATAATCTCTGTGGAGCTAACAAGTGGTAACTCACATATTCTCGAGTTTCAGATATAGTAATTCAGAATTCAGTTTCAACTACTACATGTGGATTGTGTTTCTTTTGGTAGCTCTCACTGGTGTTATTTATTTAAAAGTGTAAAATCAGATGTATTTTTTTCCCTTCAGTAACCAAAGTAAGGAGGCTTTCATTGACTGGGCAAGATACGATGATTCACAGGATCATTTTTGTGAACTTGATGGTAAAGTGTTTAAGCTTTTTCAGTGTTTGTTTTATTTGCTGTCTCTTAAAAACCACAAAAGATGATAGTTTCTCTGCAAATAACCATTTTTGGAAAGTTTTCATTTTGTGCTAAATGGAGATGTGACAGTTCGTATTTTACATGCAAAGAATGCAATTTTTGACAAGGAGCATTTGGTAGTCTACATAAAGCACATTCACTGTTACCTCCTGTTAGTATAGTGAACAGGAGACTTAAGGAAATATTAAAAAAAAGGTAAATGGGAGGAGGTTAGCATATATTTTTTTTAAAAAGCTTCTCACAAGAGTTGCATCTAGCACAAATATAAGATAAATACTTGCAACTGATTCAGTTTCCTACTAGTATATTATTTTTGTTGCTATTCTAGTATCTGTGCTTGGACTGAGTTTGTTCCTCTTCCAGCCTTGCTATGTTTCCAAATTATCTCTGCACTAAATTCACCCTTATTTCTAAGGACTTTCTTATCATTGAAACATTAAGATACTAGATTGTGTCTTCCCTCTGCTTGACATATATGAGTCTTTTTGTTTGCTTGTAACTTTCAGAGCTCAAAGGAATGTTTTTTTTCAGATAAACATGAGAGTTGCCAAGTTCAGGAATGACTGCTAAAGGCCTTTTTAATAAATACCTTAGAAAGCTTTCTATGCTAGGGGAAGATTTAGGGCATAATGCAAGGTGTTTTAATCTACCTTTAGGCTAATGTTTCATGTCACTTGAGAAAGCAGCAACTGTAGTGGACTTAGCAACTGTGGTTCTCTTTCAGTTCTGCTGCATCTTATATGTGAAAATTTTCTGTATAAGCTGTTTCTGTAGTAAATAGTGAGCATTACTGTAGATCTGAACTGTTACATACAGTAAGCTGCTGTTGTCTCTCCTATCTTATCTTCAAGCTGCCTACTTAGATTTTTAAGAGGACTCAGTAGGGAAAGGTGCAGTTTAGGAGCATTTCTTTTAGAAGAACATAATACTAATGTAAGTAGTTCCTGATTCTACCTCGATTTCTCCTTACATCATGCCCTGCTGAAGGAGGATGTACTGCCCCCAGCTGTGTTCTTCCAGTGCTTTTGCACTGGCACTGGCTCTGGCGTGCATCTTTCTGCATGGTAAGCTGATTCAACTTGAATAGCGGGAATGTAAGTTGGCATCTCCCTCCCATCTCCCAGATTGTTGTGATGAACTGGCTTATCAGGTGAGTTTGTGAGCTGGAGCAGGGAGAGGTGAGAGAAGATAATTTCTGGGAGTGACAGAAGGAGGTACAAACTCTTGTTCTCTTCCTCTCTTCCTTATGGTGAGAGTGAATGTAAGAGTGCTCAACCCTATCACAAAGCCATATCATCAGTTTTAATTTTTACTTGATTTTTGTTGGGCTTAATGCTAAACTAGATAAGGGAATTGATCTAGCTGAAAAAAACTTCATAACCCAGGTCAGCTTTCCATCTTTCTGTTGCACTGCCCCATAGACTGTGTATGTGGATATAATGAGAGAAAAAGTAGAGACCTGAAGTGACTAGGCAGTGTAGGAACTGCTTAGGTTAGCCATGCTGTCAAAGAAGTAAGTAAAACTGTAATTTCACTTTGTCTCATCTGGCTGTTGTTGTGCGTCTTGTGTCTGTGTCTTTTTTCCTCTTTTTATACTACTACTGCTGAAGTAATGCTTAACTGCTCATGCAGAATCATCTCTTCTTTTTAGAGCAGTTTTCGCTCTGTTTATGTGGGGTTTTTTGACATATGAGGAAATAGCGGCACTGCTTGGCCTATACCTATCAATAAGTCTCTGAACTACTGGCTTGGCTTGTATGTAAGGGTTTTTTTTAAGCACAAGTTGCTCTTGACCTATAATTTCAAAAAGGAGGGAATTCTTCCTGCTTTTTACTGGTTGTAGCTTGAAAGTTATGTTTTCTAGTCATACCAAGCATTTAAGCAGAGAGAGTATTGTTTCACAGTTTTCTTTGGATATGTTGCCTAAATTTGTAGTGAACTTTAGAGGGTATAACTTGTTGAAATGACATTTAAATAACATGTTTCTTGCCATAACCAACAGAGCATTCTGCAATATGCTGAAAGTTTGTTCAGTTAAGCAATGTGATCCAGACTTCCTGCCAGTATACAAGGGTATCTGGGGAAAAAGGGATTTAGCTAATAAATATACAATATGTACCAACTACAGGATGCACTTCTTTGACCTTGTCCTATTAAGAAGGCCCTGTAGCAGTATACCCATTTCAAATAAGCAACCTTTCCTGCCCCCCCTGCCAAATACTGCTGGACAAATAAATCCTAAATTTGAAATCTATTGAAAACAAAACGTTGTTTATATATTAGCATAGGGTGAGAGAACACATTGCATGACAAGTGTTTATGGTAGAGTTGAAGCCATGTAGGTGTTCAGACATTGTAGAAATTATGGCTACATGAGAGACTTTGGTATAAATTACAGACTTTTGAGCTTTATATTTACTGTGTCAGTTGCTGTATTTTTATGTACAAGGTGTTTATAATCCAACTAGAACACAGAATAGTATTATATGAGACCTCTTATTGATACTTAATGCTGCGTGACTTTTTAAAAATTGTCTTTTTAAACTCATCAGTTAGAATGTGTAACAAAAGCTTTCCTATTTAGATGAGAGGTCTCCAGATGCACAGTATGTGGATTTGCTGCTGAATCCAGAACGTTACACAGGATACAAGGGACCTTCTGCTTGGAGAGTGTGGAACAGCATCTACGAAGAAAACTGCTTTAAGTAATTGGGAGGGAGAGGAAGCCTATTTCTTATACTTGCATTTCAATTTAGTTTAAAATTGATTTTTGTGTTTTCTAACTTGTTTTCTAGGCCTCGATCTGTCTATCGTCCTTTAAATCCACTGGCGCCTAGTAGGGGTGGGTCTTCCCTGTTTTATTTTCTAATGCAGTTCTTTTAACATAGTGGCTATTGCAGTACAAGTGATACAAATAGTAATCTTCAGTCTGTAGGTATGCTTTCTGCTTCTTTTAATTTCTTCTGTAGAAGTGCCTGTCCATTTTCAATAATTAGACTAACGTTTGTGATACTTGATTACCTACATGCTTAATCTTATGTATATGAATAGTGTTAATAATGTCAGGGAGCTAACGTGAAAACTATGGTCAGTCTCAAACTGTTTAGTAAGTGTGTGTCACAGTAATTTTCTAATGTGGATGGGACAGAGTTAAAGTTCGACAAAAATTTCAGTGCTCTTGTATTCTTCTCATGTTTTGTTTTTTTTTAATAGATCATTTAATTTAATCACTTCAGCTCATAGTCATCCTAGTGTAATGAAGCTGTACATTTTCCATCCCTAATATTTAGTGTATTACAAATGTACAAATAATTGCACTATTTTAAGAAAGAGTGGATACTTAGGAAGGCTGCTATCTTCAAGAATGTTTTTGGGAAAAAAAAAAAGTATGCCAGTGACTTGAGTTTCAAGTTTTCAAATTTAAGTTGAAAACTATAACCCGGTGTTCCAAAGAAATCAACTTTCCCCTGTCAGTGTGTCTCATTTCCCTTAAAAATTAACTATTGGTCAATAGGTTGAGTTAGAAAACATCACCACACATTAGAAAATCAAGATGGCTTTTAGTAATTGTAAAGATTGAGATAATATGTTGCTGGTAGACATAAATAAAAAGAATTAGAAGAGCAGTTTAACTCAGGGATCAGAATTTCATAAAGGAACACTGGTCAGATTGTTGAATAATGCAAACTGAAGACGACAACTTCCTAATCATCTTTCTGAAGCTAAAACATAGCTTTCAAGAATATATAAAGCAGATGCTACTAAGATTTCAAATTCTTAGTGACTTTCATTATTATAATATGTTTAGTCTCAGGTGGTCTTGAGGAAGAGGAAGAGGATGGAAAGTAGCCTATGTTTTTTGTAGATTTAAATAAGGTTTCTTGCACTTTTTCTGTGTTTGTAGTAAAGCCTGTGTTTCATTACTACTTCGCTGTGGAAATTATCTTTTTAATGCTTACAGATTTTTTTTTTTCCCCCCCCCTTAAGGAGGAGATGATGGTAAGTTGTCTTATTTTGCTTGATTTGCAGAAATGAAGTAAGCATTAAAGAGTTTTGGACATCTGATTTATTCACTTTATTGCTGTTGCACTAGACAGCAGGAAAGTTATGTTTTTATGCAGATGATTGATCAGAAAGTGTTTTTATTAGGATAATTCTTCAGAGTAGGAGGAAGGAGTGGTTAAGAGCAAAATACAGTTCTGTTATTGGTTTTTATCCTTGTAACAGAGTATGTGTTGTGGTAATGTTATTAGAGAGATAATGAGATACATTAATGAAAGGAATCTTGGGTCTCCTCCAGAGCTCTTCTGATAATGATGTATGATCCTTTAAAAGAAAAGGGACAGGTTTTTGTGTACATTCTTGCATGTCCTTGATTTTGGGGAGGTGGGGAGGAAAAGCATTTGGTCTGCCTACAGGGAGTCAGACTTTAGGATTTTTCATTCAACTGAATGTGCTTAGGCAAAAGATCTAAGCCTACAGGAAACCTTCAGACAGTAGCAGCCAAGGTAAAGGCTGTCAGGTATAATTACACTCCTCCATCATGTCTTTCACCACTGGTGCATATGATCAGACTTGTGCTTCCATACACTTTTCAATGTCCTGATGAGTAGCTTAGTCATGCTCATTCTTGTATTTCTCCTAATCTTACCTGTACAGATTTAAACTAACTTCAAAGTTCAGCCACTTCTGTGCCTATTTTCACTTTAATAGCTAAATTATTTAGTTTTATGTCCAGATGGAAGCTAATGTTAGTACACATAGTAATGTAGAGATACTGTAATGTTGAAAATTAATTCATTTAACAGTATACTTTCTATTTACAGGAGAATCTTTCTACACATGGCTAGAAGGTAAAGGCTCTTGGATGTGTTAATATGATGTTAAATTTACTACAAGAAACACTTAGGGGTTTTTTTATCTCCCCAGATATTTTTTGTAATGTAAGCATTTTAATAAATCATGCAGAACTTTTGAGTGTCATTCAAAGAATATTTTTTTTCTTGAAGGTCTTTTGAAATCTTATTCACTTAGATGGTATACTCCTTGAACCCTTCAGTGTTTCATCTTTTGTAAAGGGGGGTTCACTTCAATACCAGTTACTTTGAATTTTCTGCTCATTTTAGGCATTTGGCAGGGATTATTACTAACATTGCTAAGTCTTTTTATTTGAAAACAGCTTTAACATAACTGTAATGTGTGTTCAGTAGGCAAAGCAATTTGGTTTTTATTCATATTTAAATAGAAATTATGAGAGGTACCAATCAAATTGCATTTTGGAGGTGTGCAGAAAAGTAAATAAGTTGAATGTACTTAATTTTAAACTTAGTTCGTTTTGCCTTTCATAAGCCCTTACTTGTCTAGTTAGAAATCTCTAACTGGTGCTGTTGTAGGAAAACACACATTCACATGCCTTTTCTGTACATGGGGCCATATCTCTGCCTCACAGCTAGACTTCACAATCAGTTCTTCCTATTTCTGTGTGGAGATTGGAGTGGCAGGGAAGTCACCTAAACATAACTTTGAGAAAGGAACAAACTCCTAAATTCCAGGTGTTGTCTCTGGGTTTAAGTGGTGTTATAAGTAATTTCTGCATTTAAATTATATTTTGGCCACCCAACGCCATTGCATTTCTGTTTATGCTGTAGAAGTCTATATCTATCAAAGTCATATTTTTCAGTGTTTTGCTCTGTGCATTTAAATCTTCAGTGAATTTACAGTAAAGCTGGGAAGAAATATTTTTGCTGTTTTCCAATGCCATAAGGTTTTCTGGGGTTTTTATGTTTTTCTGTCACTGCTGTAATTCAGTTGTAGCTTTAATTCAGATTAAGATCAGTCACAGTATAGTTCTGGTTTCCAGACTGTCAAAATTCAAGACTATTTCAAATGTATTGCTCAGACAATGTAAGTGTCTTACTTTTGTGTGGCAATTTTATCTGTACTAATTGACCCGATACTTATTTGACTGTATTTACTAGAATGCTAAAATATGAAGTAAGAAACGTCAAACTTCATTCTTAGGACTTTATATAAAAAGTAAGAGATAAACTTTTCCTATGATGGATATAAGGGCTTATTAACAACGCTGAAGTACTGTAATTGTAACTCCTGAAAGTTACACTATGCTGACTTGCGTCACTGAAATGTCAAGGTGTATTCATTTTAATACAGTATTTCCAGTATTTAGTTTGCAATCTGTTTGTCTTTTTTCCTGGACAGGTCTTTGCCTTGAGAAAAGAGTGTTTTATAAACTCATTTCTGGACTTCATGCTAGCATCAACTTGCATCTCTGTGCAAATTATCTTCTTGAAGGTAATTTAAATCTAGATAAAATTGCTGAATTAAATGCTGTAATATCTGTAACATGTATTTGGTTTTTTTTTTCTGAAAATTTTTGATGTATACTTAGTTGCTTTTTTAAAGAAGTATGTGTGTTTTACTCCCCCTGCGCTTTCTTTTCCTCTGTGTAGAAACCTGGGGGAAGCCTCGCTGGGGACCAAATGTGAAAGAGTTCACTCGCCGCTTCAACCCTACTGAAACAAAAGGAGAAGGACCAAGGAGGCTCAAAAACTTGTATTTCTTATATTTGATAGAGCTGCGTGCTTTATCAAAGGTTGCACCATACTTTGAGCGTTCAGTTGTTGACCTTTACACTGGAAATGGCCACGAGGATGCTGAATCTAAAGCTCTCTTATTAGATATCTTCAGGGATACAAAGTAAGGCATAGTTTTGGTTGGTTTTTTTTTTTTTAATCAATAGTTTTAAATTCTCAGTTATATTCACAAGTGAGAATAGATGACTTCTTGATGGGATAGGACAAGAAGGAGGATGGAATGAAGAAAAATAATTAAGTAATGGGTGAGAACAAGAGGAATTTGTACATTTGATGGGAAGAGATTAATATTTTTGAGATTTGAGTACACCAATCTTTAAAAAACTATAAACTCACCAAAAAAAACCCCAAAACCCACAACACCCTGGGCTATTCCCTATTTGTTGCTTTTTCTGATTCTTCAGTGTAAAATACACATGATTTATTTTGAAAAGGAAAATAGTATGTGTAGTCTTTAATGGTCCAGTGAATGATCCAGCTTTTATCATAGACTTAACCTCTGAGCTTTTAGTCATCCCTACTTCCTTCTGTTTACTCTATAAGGTTCTTTAGTCCAGTTCCTTTTTTCACCTTCTCACTAATTTTTGTGACTTGTAACGTGTTGTGTGCCTGCATTGCCGTCCCTTATCGTGATCTTACAAATTATATGAGATGTGGTCAGACAATGATCAACTGAAAGGCGAACGTTAAGACAATTTCAGTGTATATTAGGAAGAAATCTTGATCAGTGGAAGTGAAGAAAATTCTCAACAGAACTGTAAATAACAGATTTCAAATTACAGTGATTGAACAGTAAAACTGATACCATTCAGTAATTTTTTTTAAGAGCTATTCTGCAAAGACTAGGAACTCTGAAAAGTATTTTACACAGAAGGCATCAGCTGCTTACCAAACTTGATGTTAACACTGTAGTTTATGCTAGCATTCGGGTTTTTTGCGTTTTGTCTTCATTAGGTCCTTCCATATGCACTTTGATGAAAAGTCCATGTTTGCTGGAGATAAAAAAGGAGCCAAGTCATTAAAGGTAAAGCTGTTTTTCTGAATTATGTCCAAAATAATCCATTTTGGAATTAAGCTGTGTTATTTTAGAAAAACTCTCTACCTACCAGAAGCATACTGCTGAGAGTAGAAAAGGCAGGGCTAAAAATTTGGAGTTGTATCTGAGGCCTCTTAATCTACTTTCTAGTAAATGAGGACAAGAGTTGTCCTGAGCCAAGCAAGCTGAAACCTTAGTTCCTTGGGTCTGCTACCAGGACTGTGGTGAGGTAAATGAGTTGAATTGGTATTGCCAGTAGACGCAATGGTGTTTTTTAAATAGAGTATCTGTTTCACATAAGTACCTGAAAAAAAAGTGCTGTTTACTTAAAAAGCAGATGCCTGATGTAATATAATATTATACTTAACATTAGAAGAGCATAATTCCTAGACATGGGAACCTCATGCAAATGCTGTTACTGCCTAACAACTTCCAGTGTTAACATACTGGTGTTCAGATTGGTATGCCCTACAATTCCACAGTTGGATGTGGCTCAGAACTAAAGATTTGTTTTAATATTATTAACACTTTCAATACTCATTTCAGTAGTAGTATGGAATTTCATCAGCATTAGAAAGAATGCTTATTAGAAAGGTGTCAGAAGTTGATCAGCCCAGCTAGTGTTTTTCTGATCTTAAATATTTAATTGACATAATCTTAATTAGTTCTGTGGTGTTCTTGCTTCTGCTCTGACTGAAGCTGCAAAGCAACAATCTACCTAGCTTTGGACAGGAAATGTCTTTTGTGAAATGTAACTTGTTTGCCTGTTTGTCAGAAAGGTAGGTTGGCTCAAAAAAGGTTTGAATAATGGAATCAAAATTGGGCAGGGACATGGATACAGTGCTTATAGTTCAGAACATTTTGGGAAAGTTGATAGAAACTCATCATACAGAATTCAAGCTTTACCCTTCATGTCCTTTATTTGGGGGCTTTTTTGAGGAATTAACTCAAGCAATTTCCAAGCAGTGGCTTGGAAACAAGATTCTGGGTTTATATGGACCTTTGTTATGGCCTGACCACATAAGGTTGTGGTTTTATTCAGATTTAGTAATAGAGAATTGATATTCTAGGGGTACTAGATTAGTTAACCTTCTGCTTTTGTGAAGCTAAGAGGTACTTTTCAGTTAACCTTTTTCTGTTTTGTTTTTAACTAATAGGAAGAATTCAGATTGCATTTCAAGAACATATCCCGCATAATGGATTGTGTTGGATGTGACAAATGCAGGCTGTGGGGCAAACTGCAGGTACAGTTTATTTTATGTGTGTGTGGCAGTGGGAGAGCTTAGAAAATAATCAGCTATTCCAGTTCAGTAGGACACCATTTACCTTGGCCTTCAGACTGCCCATGGTTGGTCTTTGATATCGTTACCTATATATTAAAAATAGATATATGCTTAGTTCACTGTTAAACAATTTAAAAAAAAACCCCAAAAAGTGAAAAGAGGTTTGTTTAGTCAATAGCTGTTTAGCTCACTAAATAGTATAGCTTGTGTTCTCTGAAAAAAATATATTTAAAGCAGATGCTCCATGGCAAAATCTTACTGGCATTCAATATCTTACCTGTATTCAGTGATCAGATGAACCTTGTAGAATCACCTGTGGGAAGCCTTCTTGGAAGTACAGCACTTCCTTAATTGTTAGAAAATCCAGTGTGAGATTTAACTCCACAAATTGAGGCATAAGAAAAAGAAGTAATTACTATTTTCACAATTTTTGCAGAAAGCAGCAGATGAATGCAAAGGTGCACAGTAAATCTGAAAGTTGAAAAAAAAATCAGTTTCTGGACACTTGTTTTATTGAGAACACAATTTTAAACCTCAAGACTAATCTAAAGTCTAGATTGAGAATAATTGTTACTTTGAGGTGCCTACTGTACTATACTGCTGTATAACATTAAGCTTATCAGAGTTCAGCTTTCAAAGAACTTTATAACGTCAAACATTTGGTGGTCTCTGCTGAGCTTCTGGTGTTCTGTCTACTCTGTCATAGTTAATGCTTCTGATCTGTTACTGTTTTTCCTTTCTCACAAAAAATGAAATAGGGCCACATTTCCTGACCTACATTCTCTTCCAGCTAGCCTCAACCACTTCTTATCAAAATCCAGAGCTTGTTTCTGTAGCCCGATTAAGATGGGAAATAAGAATAGCTTCTTACATTCTATTTCTGCATAGAAAATAGGGGTTGAAACTGAAACTGCAGTGTCTGCCACTGGGACTGGAGGTGGCAAAAGCAGATGTGATGCCTCATAATAAAATCGTTTGTCTTCAGAGGGAGGTGGGAAGAGGAAAATGGGAGTTCTGATCCAGCAGCTCCTGCATCAGTGGGGCATTTGTAATGTAAGAGGCAGGAGAGAACTGGAAGGATTGTAACAGACACTTTCATATGCATCTGCTGTGTCTGAGGAGAAAAAAGATGAGAAAGAGATTAAAAACACAAGGATGAAGAGCAAGTATACCTGAGGAAACAATGTTCTTAAATAAGTGACTGACACAACTGATGGCATGCATTTGCTGTTAGTGTTCTGGTTTGTGTGCAGTTATTTGGGCTGAGGGAGTATCCATGTATAGGAATTGGTACCACAGTTTGCTTGGATTAGTGATTTTTAAACTTTTTTTACAGTTTTCTGAGTGTTTGAAGGAGTGATCTTATTGGTGTTAAAACACTGAACTTTTTTTGTAGACTCAAGGCTTAGGAACTGCCCTGAAGATCTTATTTTCTGAGAAAGAAATACAGAGCCTTCCTGAGAATAGCCCATCAAAAGGTTTTCAACTCACACGTCAAGAAATAGTTGCTCTTGTAAATGCCTTTGGAAGGTAAGTTTTTATCTTTTGTGTAGTAGAAAAACTGTAAAACTTCAGTATCAACACTCAAAGTCTGTGGAAGGATGGTATTGTACACATAGCTGTAGCTTTTAAAATGCTGAGTTACTATTAGTGACATTGGTAAGCCTAATACCATCAAACTGAGTATGTAGAGTGTTGATTATTAATCTTAGTCTTCATTCTGGTTTGGATCCAATTCTTTATCTCAAATCTCAATAAATTCCATCTGGATTTAAGTTCCTTAAACAGTCGTAAGCATCGGATTTTGAGTATGTCCCTTTCTGAAACACTGACTACAGCTGTTCTACACTTTGTATTTCTGATTTAAACTTGTATGTAAAACGTAGTGACAAGAAAGAACAATACTTGGAGATTTTAACGCTGTCATTTAGTCCCTAGGCTTTTGGATTTTTGTGTATGATGTGATTTTTGTTAAAACTTTAGTTGTGATTGATTAATTTTTTGAAAATTTACCCCATTCAAGTGATGAAAAAAACATTTTAACAGCTTTGAAAGATGTGTAGAACTTTGTTCATCATGCTAGTTCTTCAGGTCTTGAATTTAACAATCTGTTCCTGTTTAAAAGAATGTGATAAACATTATTACCTCTGATTATAGATTTTTAGATGTTTAATGAAGTCAGGATAGTTAAACATTTATATATGAAATTTAATCCCTGTAATATATTGTGTAAATATAATGGAGAGTCAAATAGTAGGGTAAGTAGAATCCTAAGTGTTTTCATCTTTGAAAAAGAATTGTTTTCGAATAAAAAAAACCCAACCAAAATCCAAAAATCCTCCATGGAAGATGATGATTTGCACTTCTTTCACACTTGCCTTACTAACACATAAGGGGTTTTTGTTTTACAGGCTTTCCACAAGTATAAGAGAGTTGCAGAATTTTAAAGTTTTATTACAACAAACAAGGTAATGAAGGCCTTTGCACAACCCACTAGTGACGACCATTTACATGACTGCATTGAGCAGAAGAAACTGATCCTTACAGGACTCACATGAACTGATAAAAAATAAAATTGAATACCGACTTGAATATTTATCTTTAAACTAGGTATGGTTATTAATTAGAAAAGATATTTATGAATGAAATATATAGTTTTTAAATGTGTAAATTATGCCGATCTGTTTATTTTTAAGTTCTCTGCTCACAGTTCTGTTGTACTGAAACTTCATAAATTTTCTTTATTTCCTTGTATTTGAGACAGTTGTTTTATATGAAAACTTAAGTACCTCCACACTGACTTGGCCTGTTCTGTGAGAGGGTAGTTCACCTCTCGCCTCTCCCCAGAACTGAGCTTCAGTATATTCTGAAGATTGGGTATGCTGATTCTGGCTGTCTGAAAGAAAACAAACAAAACCACAAAACAATAGAAAAGGAAATAAGGCTCTTGCTGAATTCTGACTTCTTACTATAATAATGAAATTTATTTAAAAATAGGAAGTCTACTGAGCAGAAAACTTTTATTTCATACCGAGCTCTTTTGCATCGTGCTGATATCAGTGTTTTTTTTCCTTATGTGCTGCTTTTCAGAATTTCCTTTTTTTCTTTACAATAACTACCTTGCCTCTGATGCAGCACAATTGGAAGTGATTTTCCTGCAGCCCCTCAGCTTCCTGCATTTGCTTGGGGGTGGGGGTCAGGGCAGAGGAAGAGTTAGTGGAGTGCTGCTAGCTGAAAAGCCTCGGTCAATCAAATTCACATCTACCCCATTTTATTTTCTATATTGTAATCACAAATTCAGGTTTCCAGAATTTGTCTTTTTAATGTCCAAAATGTTAAAATAGCACACTTCAGTCTTTGAGCAGTGGCAATAGATTTGCTCTTTATGGGTTATGCTTTAGTGCTAAAGGTCAGTGCAAAAAGTACAAATTTGTTTTTGTAATCACTTTTAAAAAAAGATGCTTTTTAAAATTCATAATCACACTGACATTTAATATCGCATACTCTATCTATGCAATCCCTAACTGTATCTTCTTTAAAATTATATTCAGCATAAAAAAAACGGGTATGTTAATAACATAACTTTCATAAAATAAAAAATTACTCATGTATCATTGTCCACAGATGGCAGTGATAACTTATCATTTTCCAAAACAGAATTCAGAAACAGCACTACTGATTAGTAGCAACCAAATATTGGTTTAAATTTAAAATGAAGTAATAATTTTTTTTTTTAAACCAGCATGTTTCAGCGTGGTTAGGAGTTAAGAATGTAGGAAGTGCTGGTACAGTGTAGATACATCTCCTTTTTTAAAAAATGAGTCTTCACAAAATAAAGTGCTCTTAAACATTTTTCACCCTACCAGATACTTAGTGACATATAATTGATTGTAACTGTCTTGGCTTCCATAATGTCCTTTACAGCTGAGATTTTCTAAAAGCTGTAATATACTCTGTCTTATGTTTCCAGACTAGCTTCAAATACCTACCTGACTGGAAATGAGACAGACTACCTGCTGACACTTGCTATTATAAAAAATACTGTTTCTCAATACAGTAAACTCTGTTGAGCCAAACTGGGATAAGCTAAATGAAAGTGAAAAAAACAAACAAAAAAAAGTCAACAACAAACAAACCCAAACAAACCACACCTACAAAGTTTTGGTGATAGTTGCACAAGTTGACAGTGAACTGGTGGTATCCAGTTGGAAGTTCCTGTTTAAGCCAGTAGATAATTTAATGTGGTGTTAGAAAAAGCTGATGCCAGTCTGGGGATGTTCTGTTCTTACCCAGCAGCTGCTCTTGCCTGTGGGTACCTGTCTCTGAGCAAGTCACCACAGGCTTCCTTTTTCTAGTTAATGGAGAAGAGCAGGTGATTTCTAGGTGGATTCATCTAGCCTGTTCCGAGCTCTGTTACCCTAGAGTTTATTTTTCTCCATTAAATTGAAGTGGGAATCCAGGTAACTAGCTCAGATGTGAACAGCTGTGTTTGGCAACTGAGTTACACCCGGAGTCCCTAACTCCTCTGAGTAATTGTATATATTGAAAGTGTATTGTTTTCAGTTGGCCATTAACTCCTTACCTTTTGGTTTGACCTGCAAGGGCTAGAACCTGCAGGCTTACTGGTATGAAGAATGCTGTATAGCAGGGATTTATCTGTATTGTTATATGTTATAGTGCCTAAAGCTTTAGGCAGAAAAGTTGTGTTGTCTGCGCTGCCCCAGGAAGGACCTGAGTCTGAGAACTGTTTCTTCCCTTTTTCCCTATGCTTTGTGGGGAAAGTGAATTGCTTCCAACCTTCTTCTGGGGATGCAACTTCCTGTTTTTCTTTTTTTCCACCTGTGCCTGGTTAAAATCTACGGACACTGAAGCAGCATCACATACTAATCATCACGCACTCACGGGACAGGTGAGAGATTGGGGTGGCCCGCAGATCCTGGACACCTGCTCCTTGCAACCCTCGTTGGCACAGCGCAGTCAAGGTTAATACTGCTGGGTAAGGACATGAAGAGATGGGAAGCTTTTCTGGTTTTGTTTTTTTTTTTTCCCCTGTGTCATGGAAACACAGGAATGCAGCTGAACAGCAGATTCTGTGTATGGGGAAGTTCTGTTGAATTTGAAGGTACATCTTGTTTAGTGATCAAATGGGGAAGACGTTTCACTGTCACTGTAGAAATAGGAGATAAGATTTTTCCTGTTACAAATCTAAGTGAAACTACTTTCCTGTCGCCATCTTTTTTACTGTATTTGATGTACATTCTGTGACTATGCTGCCTATGAAGTTTTGCCATGTGAGTCGGATGACTTGGTTCTTAAATGAAATTTTAGAAATTTACAGATCCGTTTTTATACTGAAGAATAAGGTTAGTTACAGTGTCCATGACCTGTAAACTATTTTAAATTCCAGTTCCCTGTTGGAGATCAGCTTGTTAACATTTGTCTGTCATTCATTTCAGAGAAAAATTTCATGACACAATGATTGTAATCCCAGAGGTAGTGAGAAGACAAACACAAAAATGATTTATTTTTCCCAAGTCATGAAGACTTAGATAAAATGGTAAAAAAAGCTTGGTGCAAACTGCATAGGTAAAATGTAGGGTGCTGCTGCTGAACAACTTGCTCCTCAGTGCCTGAGGAGGAAGGTGAGAATATAGATTTAAAACAGTGAGAAAGAGAGAGACTTGTGTAAGCCAGAATAACAAAAGTGTTCTCCTGCTTCAGCTGATGATTCTGCTGTCTGTCATTGTACATACATGAAATACACTGGGCCACACTTTCCTGAGTTGTGTTTTGATGGTCAGGTTGCCTTTATCTGAGCTGGCTTTGTGCTCTTCTGGGAAATTACCTGTAATATGTTGTAAATAATCTAAATGCTTATGTTTATAAAGTAGCAATCAGCAATTCATCACTTTACAATTCCTCCATATAGCTAGCCTATGAAAATGTAATATTTATTAAAATCAGAATCAATGTTGGAACTGCTTACTGGGATCTAAACACTTCTGAATCTTTGCTATGTTTGAATCTATAAAATGAAAATTAAAGTATTTTCTGCTAAAACTTCTTTATGTCAATGTAATTTTTGGGATTTTATTTGAAACTTTACTTTTCATTTACCTTTCAACTACACTTGGAAGGAATTATGTCATTTAAATTATTAATACGAGTCACTTAAGATGATGAACAGGCTTTTATTTTCACTTTAATTCCATCCAAAAGGTGAATGTAACATACGTATCTGTTGCTGTTTGCAGTGCATAGCAGTGTGTCAGCACATCACAAATGTGTGTGGCAGAATTACAGCATGTTTCTGTATGAATATGGCCAAATCTAGCCACTGTGTAAGTGCAATTGTTTTAAGAGGCAAAAAGGCTTATTTCAAAATGAAGTTTTGTCTTTCTGTCCCTTTCCCAGAATAGCTTATAAAACCAATTTTGTAAATACTTTCTCTGGTTGGTTTAGCCAGTGGGGCTCTTTGTGTAGAAGAAGATTGCCCCTACAGGGTTTATGCAGCTTTCTGTTTCATTCCATGTATGCATTTTTAATAAATTATCTTACTAAAAATTTGGTTGTCAATATGCACATATTTCACCCCCAGTTTAGGTGGGTAAATACCTGTTACACAGGTGTTGAGGATAATAGTGATTTAAATAAAATTGAAGGTCTTACCTTTCACACTGTGGTTTAAATCCCCTGTGTTCAAGAGTGTTTAATTTGTTACTGTGATTGGTTATAGTAACTTTGAATTCCACTTTTTGCATGCATACTGTGGAGTGGGGATTAAGCTTGTTTTAAGCACAAAATTCTTATAATTAAATTTTTCCTGTGCAGATAGATCTACTGCGAAGAAAATTTAATTCCTGGAGACTTTCCTTGCACTAGGTCTTAAGGCAGTTTTGTACAAACATGTTTGTAGAACTCCAAAGGGTTTAATAAAATTTCTGTTCTCACAACCCTGTGGCACCTCTTTTTAAGCTCTGACTGATAATTTACTTGGCTTCTTTAATGAACATTGAGGAAGAAGTGAAGAAACTAATGGAAACTCTGGAGGGCAAACAGTTGGCCAGAGTGCTTCTGCCAGAGGCAGGGCTCGTGCTTGGATTTTACAACCAAGGCCCCAACAATCAAAGACGCGTTGGAAGACTTGGCCTGTGAGTGTGGCACTGCTGTGCTTTCAGCTTCCAAGCAGCCTGATCAGATCTACTCCCCATCCCGTATCCTCTGCAAAACGTTACATGAGAATTCTCTACTTGTACTTCCTGAAGCCAAATAGGAAGAAAACATCAAGCCTGTCCACCATCTTGGGATGCTGTAGTACACCTCAAAACAAACTACCTCTGTGGAAGAAACGATTATTGTAAGACATAAGTTTTTCTCCTAGGGAAATGTGGATTGAATTACAGTATTTGTTTCATGGGTGGAAGGAGAAGGAGATGCTGGGGATGTGGAATTCTTCACAGCAGAGCATACCCCTCAGTATTGGGCACAATAAAAAGGCCTGCAGTAGAGTTAAGGTTTCTGCTCACCCTTAGAATTAGTATCAATTCTTTTTAGGCTTGCTATATGTACAAATGTCACATATTGGAATGGTACTTACACACCATTTCTACCACAACCCACTGCACTTAATCCCTAAACATACGAAGCGGAAGCCTGGCTTGGCTGACCTTCTGCTCCTTATGCAGAATTTATCTTCTAGGTCCACTGGAGGTTCTTCTGCTTTATGTATTCCTGGCTCCTGTTCTATGCCCAGGTGGCACTTACTAGTTTTTGATAAATAAGTGCTGTTCTATGTATCCATCTTCCTCACTCAGTCTTTGACTTACTCTTCTCTGTAACATACCTAGCACTGACTGTCAGAGGTGATCACACAACTTTCCAGGTTTTCAAACTTAGAAACTTTCAGTCTGTTTTGCCCTTTACAGTGCTCCAGCCAGAGGACTGTCCATCTCTACCATTCTAAGCCCATTCCTGATGGCTGTCAAGAAGATACAGTTTTCTTGCTTAGAAGGATGCAGTGTTTTGAGACCGTAATGAGAGTATAGGTAACTTTTAGCCTCCAGCCATCTTACCCCATTGAGTAAGCAGAAATGACCCAAAGAGTAAATTGTGCTCTGAGAATGTAGCAGTAACCTGGAAAGATGGTATTTAATCGGGTTGATATTCTTCCCTTACAGGTTTTTATGTGCACGTAAGAATCGCTACTGTCATGCGTTTGAACAACCCATTCATGTGTTTACAGTATATTCATCATAATCATGTATTTCTAACCTAATACACAGTGTAAAAATAAAAATACATAGAAAATAATTACGCCATTTTACTTCATGAAATTTGCTCTTTTAAAATGAGCATAAAATGATTAAATTATACTCTCTAACAACTCTATTCAAAGCCAAAAATACCATGGCTTAGAACAAGGTATTAATTAGAACAGTCTTCAGAGTTTAAGTCATTAGCTTATACTTCTCCTTGAACTACGAAAAGCTCATGGCAAAGACAAGTTCTTCATTTATCTGTGCATAGGAACACTTCTAAAAACCAAAAGGTGAAGAAAAATTGCTAAGCTTTGTTTTTCGGAACACTTGTTTTAATATTGGAATGTCCTAGAACGCTGTAGTTGATTGAAGTTATATAGGGCTGGGCCGCTCTGTGTCCAGTGCTGGATCTTGTTGGAGGGATCCTATGTAAGCCGTGAAGCTGCTGTTCTGATGGCCCCAGTCGTAGTAGTCTGGAGAGAAACTTAAAAGCAAAACAGAAGAATTAGTGACTGGCAGGTTGGTTCTGTAGATACCTGGTTAGTGAATGTGAGTAAAACGCAATTGCATAGAGGTAGTAGTTCCTATGCTGAAGTGCAAAAATAAAACCCCAAGCAGGGGTTTAGGCAGCTATTTATTTTCTGATTTGCTGCCAGTTATTTTGGCCCAAGTGTTCTCATTATCTGTTTCCTGATTCTTCTGGTTCACTAAAGACCCTCCCCGTTCTGATTTGCTGTTCAGAAGGTGTTTGAAATTCTGAGAATTGGTGCTTCTAATCCCTACCCTGTCCTGCTGCTGGCAGGGGCCTGTGTGGGACAGACCCAAACCCGCCGTGTCAGGTGTTGGGGTGCGGGATGTCAGCAGTGCTGGCACACGGCTGCTCCCCCACGAGCACCGCCGGGCGATGCAGGTATCTGGTTTCGTTTCCCCTGGGAACTGCCTCTGCCTTACCAGTGCAGCTGGTTCCCTCCTGCCTCTGTGGGGAAGGGAGGGTGCCCCTAGCTTGAGGCCGAATACCAGCCTGGCACACACCACCTCCAGCATCCTCGGAGGGTTTAGTTAATATGTGGGAAAAGCCAACGCCAGGGTAGGATGACTGAGAATGTAAATTGTGAATATCCACCTTTGCTGAGTTGTGGTTTGGGCTCAGAGACGGTGATACGGTCTTAGCTAAGTGACAAGAACTAGAACTGGGTATGTTGGCTATGGTTAGCAAGTTAGCCTTCATTTTAGGCTGACTGAGTATGCTAATTACTATTAACTTAGTGTAGATACAGGAGCAGCAAATGACTAACGCAGGACTGAGCCTCCTTTGAGGGCAGGATGGTGTCCTGGCAGTGCCTTTCCTTCTCTGAACTGGGTGCTCTCATTCTTGCTGGGAACTGCTCCTTCCTGGAAGGGAATCCTTACCTAAAGCTCACAGTTACACAGGGAAAATAGCTTTTTTGTGTCAGTTCTGGGTTGTGCGGGATTTCAGCAGTTGGGTGGATTCACATAAGCTGTCAGCAAGTGGGAAAGCAAACGCCCCCTTTGTTTCAGGTAAATCCCGAGATGTTTAGACACGTTACAGGGCAACCAAAGTTGAGAAGTTTCTCGCTACCACCATCACTGCCTGCGCTGTCGAGCTTTTCCCTGCTCTCCTGCAAGGCAGGGAGACAGCTGGTGATCTAGGCTGCCTTGCTCACACGCTCCAACTAGTAAATAGCCCTTCTTCAGCCACTCTTGGAAGAAACAGAGGGTGAAACATGCAACCCAGTGATCTGACCACAGTTTTTCAATGAACGGCATACTGTCCGTGGGGCCCATGGATGCCTACAGTCACTCAGTGCTGCCTTTCCACTCCAGCTTCCTCCTTTGTTTCCCCTCACCCCCTGGAATTTATGCAACATCTGGAGCGAGACAATTTTACATTAGTCTTCTGCAGTATGTGAGAGTTCTTCCTCCTCTGGTTTCCATTATGGAAAGCAAGCAGTTCCCTCTTGCATCTCTCACCTGCCCTGTGCCCCCTGTGGTGCAATATTCCACGCAAGATCGTCATCGCTGTCGTATCTGCGAGGGTTGTCAAAGAAATAAGATCTGGGACTGAAGCCATGGCTTGGGACCATTCCTGCGTTGGCCTGAGGGAAGGGAAACCTCAGTCAGCACTTGCAACAGATACGTAAACTGCTTGGTGCCTGAATTCTAAAAAAAGTCACTGCAGATTTACCTCCTGGCTTCCAAAATAAAAGAGGCAATTTTGCATTTGCTGTAGACAATATAAATATCTTTACATTTTCTGTTTTTCTTTACCAGCATAGTGCTAGTCTACCGATCTTCACAGATTTTCCTTTTCTATCCTTCTAGATAACAGATATGACCCATTAATGAAACCACCCCCCAGACTGCATTTAACCTGTCTGCTGAATGCCTGTCCAACCTGGTCACTTTGTGCTTTTAGCCAGCTGACTTCAAGTGCGCAGCAGGGAAGGAGCTAAAGGGTATGAAACACCTAAAGAGATTTTGTTTTACCTCCCACATTTGTAACCCTCTCTCCTGGTGCATTATCTCCCTTGCTTCAGAAACTGATCATACTGAGTCCTGGCACCCTGCTTACTGAAAGCACAGCTGGAAAGCCCCTTAGCACCTCTCTGAGCAATTTCAATATCTCCTCTACAGTGCTGTGAGGGTCAAATCCCGAGAAAGTGTCCTTTGATAAAACGAGGAAAGGGGTGTACATGTAACTGCTTCATTTACGAAGCATTTTGCTTTTATTTCCCTATGAATCAAAGCAGAAAACATGCAAGATTCAGAAGGTCAGTTTGATTCTGGAAACAGTCAGGACCTGGCTGAGCCTCTGCCACTGACCCACTGCTTCCAGCCCCAGGGAACAGGGTTCCCAGCACCTCTGGATAAGCCAGGATTGCATCTTCTCCTTGGTATTAAGCAGGAGAACAGGTTAATCTCCCCATTTTTTAGATGTTTAATAACTTTGACAAAGATGAAGTGAAAATAGGTCCATCTCTATTGTCTCCCCATTTCCAACAGTTGTCTGGCTGAAGGTCTGGCAAGGCGAAGGCCCGCAGACTGCAGACAGACCACTCGTTCCAGGCTATAATCGCCTGTGGAGGGGAGCTTTACATTTGAACAGTGCTGAACGTAGGCTGCCTCTGCTCAGACTTTTTGTTTCTGAAATCCTGAATGAAACATAAAACCAAAACCCCATGATTTTTTGGGATTCTTCCTTATTAAAAATAAAGAACATTTTTTACTTTTACTAAATCAGAATTGTTGTTAAGATTTTTTAACTAAAAGAGGGTTTGTTTTGATTCTAACCCCATGCTTTCTGGCCAAGTATTTTCAACCACTGGACCATTTGATACTTAACTGCCGTAACAGCCACCCTACTGAACAGATTGAAGTCCTGTGGCCCTTGGTCTCCCTCTTGTGGCGTACCTGCACTGACGTTCAGTTCTGTACTACAGAGTCTCTTCGTTGTTTCTTACTAACGTTGTTTCCAGTTTTCCTCTTACTACGATATTATTTAGCACAAATGTCTTGTGTAGAAAAAATCCACTTATGCCCTATCCACCATGACAAGTAATGTCTACCCTAAAAAAAGTACCCAGAAAAGAAGTGATATCGCTGATTGGCTCTTCTGAACTATATGTTTATGAAGTTGGAAATTTAAGGCTTTCTGCAAATCACAATGCAAAAATATAATGTTATATGTGTTACTGAAGTGCTCTTTGACTTGTGAGAGAATACTGCCTGTGAGAATCCATTTGAGGTCTCGTTTGAGTAGGATACCAAGTCCTTATGTGATCAGCTTTTTGAAAGGAGAGATTAGACCACATCCTTTATTTTTCACTTGCTTGTGAATCTCTCCCACACTATCCAAACTTGCCCATCAGGTCTAGCCTTACTACACTCACTTTTTAAATAAAATGAGATCTCTCTGTGATCACTTCTTAGAAGAGCAGCACCACTGGACTGTACTTTAAAACATTTCTTCTCTTTGCAGTTGTCCTGGCTAACTCCTAAGCAGGAGTGGGGCTGAGAATTTTTTAGTTATGGATGCTGAGGTCCATGGGGTTTCTTAGTCCAATGTCAGGTATTTCCTCCTTGTTCAGCTTGGCTTTGTCATTGTCTCTGAAATCTGCATGTGAGAATAAAAATTATCGTCTTCTCTAAAAAATTATTCTATTAATTGCTTCTCTTACTTGTTAATTTACCATTCACATCCTTCTTGGGGAATATTAGGTTTGGTTTGGCCTACAGAAACAGAGATGTTACCTCAGTAATCCTAGTGCAGGGCTGATATTCCCCATGTATCCTGTGCTAACCCAGAGAGTTGCCTACAGCTATAAGAAGATGCTCATCAGTCTGTTAATTACCTAGATATTAAAGATCCTTACAGGAAACTATCATTACAACTCACATCTTAACCCCTGCTCTGCTGAAATAGCAATCAAAAATGTCAGCAAGTGCTTATTATGGCTGTTGGTCTTTGACATGGAAACAATCCAATGGGTGCAGGACTGAAAGAATTCACTCTACTACTTCATACATGCTGTTGAACAGTTAGCACACAATCGTTTTCACTGCTATGTGATGAAAGATCCCAAGTTTGGATAACAAACTCCTTTTCCACTGACTCCAGCAAAGTCCTATAAACTCAAATGGAAGATGTCCTTAAATTTAAGGAGGTTCCTGATTTTTAAGGTAAACCGCCTGAGAAACACCTTGTCTTCCTTCTTGGTAAATATGAGTTTCTTTCATGAGGTGTTAGTATAAGGAAGTGGGGAGTTTGGGTTGCTTTTATTCTGCCAAAGTTACATTGAAGAAAGAGAAGTCAAAATGTAAAGAAGCAAGAGCTCCTTCAGAAGCTGAGCCCTCCAGACCTGCCTGGACATTACACTATCAAATACACTAACAAATTCCACTTACTAGATCTTTTGTAGGGTTCCGGACACGGAAGAAATACACAACCAAGGAAGTAGGCAAGAGCTCCCAGATGAAAAGGACCACTCCGAACACTATGTAACCTGCATCTCCCAGCTGACATTTCAGATCTGCCTGTTGAAGAGTCAGAGAGAAAAGTGTTTAAAGATAGCAGCTCATTTAAAGGTGCTGGAGGCAACATGTCTTCTTATGAGGATCTGTATTTAAGTGGATGAAATGCTTTACAACATGGCCAGAAATTCCACTCAGTAAAGCTAGACTAATCTGGCTAATGATTAAAGACCTATTAAAAAAAAAAATCAATATGCTGTCTTGTTGGGTACATGACTTCCCTTTCCTTCTCCCTTTCTTCCTCCTGCTATCTTGCCAGGCACTGCTGGCAATCTGGCTTTTTAAAATTTAGGCTTGTATCCCTTCAAGCTGGTGCACATTGTTAGCTTGAATAACCATGATGCTCCTATAGCAATAGCTTTGAATTTTCACCATTCATCATAGTTGCAGAGGGCAAATCCTGTCCTTTCATATGTTTTGTACAGAAGAGAAAAAGGGTAATGTTTCTGACAGGTGATCTGAGGCAGTACCACAGTACAAACATTGGGCTGTAGGTTTAAAAGTGACTTTTGATTCTGGTACCAAACTGAGTACCTGCTCCTTAGTTCCAGGCCCTTTACGTATGGCTCAAATCATTTATCCCGAAATGCAGGCAACCCAAATGTCACAAGTCAGATCAGATGTTCAGAAATCAGTGGCAGTGACCTAAGGTCTAAAGCATTGCGGCGAGCTCCCTACGAACAACCTCTGCCTTTCCCGGGGGGAAACGGGACCAAATATTCTGGCTGTAAAGTTCCAGCCCCTGTTACTCCAGACTGTAGAAGTCAGCACAAGAGGTGCCCCCTGCAAGGGGTCAGCAGGAGCAGCAGCAACACTCCAGGCCCCAACAACAAGAGGGAAAATGTTTGATTCAGGAGGTGAGTCTCAACCTAGTGTCCTTCTGCCTAAGCCTACATGTTACAATTACACGGAGTGGCAACACCTAGCTGCACTCCTCCACACCGCAGCAGGGTTGATTAGTGGTCCCTTGACAGACCCTACTCAACTAACTCATAATGAGGTCCCCTGGGCAATCCTACCTTACTGGTTACCTACTTCCTATTTACAGTTTTATCTACTGCTCAACAGAAAATTGTTAATGGCTCCAGGTTTGCTTGGCCACCTTGGCCCCTGTGTAGCTGGGAACACTGCCTGTGGTCTGCAGGTGCCTGCTGAGAGGGTGGGGACATGTCAAGTGTCTGGGATTTTCAGGACAAACAAAATATACTCATGGTCCAGACCCACACCAGCCATTATGCCTAGCCTTGACAGAGCTCGAAAACTGCTGGGAGCTGGCTACATGCTTCAAAGCAGAGAAAGGGGCTGGATGCCCAAATTTCATAAAATCCAAGAAAGAATTCCCTGCTATATCCTTTAGTGTTTTTATCACTGTTAGTTTTCAGTCTGAATTGTCACTTGCAATTAAAGGTTGGGAAGAATCTTAGTCTTATCCTCAAACTACAGAAGTTATCATGCTAATGACAGAATTAAGGTAAATAACTCCACAGCCCTGGATAGTAATGGGGGATTTGATGATGACTTCAGAAATGAGCATTTCAGAGGAATCAATTACTGTATTTCTGCTTCTCCAGGTACAGTACATTCCTTCTAATGGACAAAACACCTGCCTTTTTTTGATAAAAGGCGCTTTTTTGTTTAACAGTAAAATCATAGTAAATAAAAGATAGACTTTTTAAAAAAAATTTCTAGTGGTTATTTCTTTCTTTTAACACTGAGGAGTTTTGTTTTCTTCCTTATGCTAAAATTACCATAAATTTGTATTCCTGGAGCAAAACAATCTTAGTTCATTGAATAAAAGAAAAAAGACTAGGATTTTAATATCTTAATTCCTCTTGTCATAGCACTTAGGAAATAAGCCATCATATACAGAATGAGTTTTTCTCATTAGCAAATATTTTCATACTTGCCTGATCTGATACGTTGTACCAATCGTAATCAAAAGAATTGACTTTCTTGGTTTGGGAAAACGATAAGATGAACAAGTTGTAACAGGCTCGTGAGGTATAAAGTAGTATAACAGTCACTCCTATACTTGTCACCTGACAGACGGATGAGCCCTGGAAGAGATTTAAGCGCAGGTTGTAATTCATAAGGGGAGTTGAGAAGCACATTGCTTTGTATGGACTTCATGCTACTCTGTCTAATGCAACTGACTTTCTCTTTCTTTCTTTGATCAGTATACCCTACACTACGTACATTCCTGTACAGTGGTTTCCAGGCAATGGTAGCAGTTGCATCCCTTACCAAGATGGGCTGTGACTAATTCCTACAAATTATTGTACAAATGCTATTTTCAGAACACTGAAAACACCTAAGAACTACACTTGGTACCAGATGGAGCAAGAGAATTCAGCTTTCAGCTGTGCATTAGCTACAGAGCATCCTGTATAAGATGCTGGCTAGCTGCCCTGATGCAACCTTGCACCTTTTTACAACTGCTTGCTCTGTGCCTATTTCCTAAGTACAGAGCAGATTGTAACAGTCAGCAGTTCAACACAGCGCAGACAGGAACAGAACATCCTGCCTTACCTAATGTCAACACAGCGGAGACAAAGTAGAAGCACTGCCTATGGGCAGAGTGACCATGGCAGGATGGCCTGTGAGTGGGAGCTGGGGCACAAGGTGAGGAATGAGACTACAGAGTGCAAAATCACAACAGTTCCTAAACCCCAGGGAAAAAAAATGGACAGAGCAGGGGAAAGAGCTTAATCCAGTGTGAGGATCAAGTGAGATGCCTGACCACTGTGGTAAGTGGGGAGGGGCACTGTGGGGCTCTGAGATGCCAGCACAGGAGCTGCAGCAGCCAGAAAGGAAGGAATCCGGGAGTCATGGCTACAGGGATCAGTGTGAGTCTGATCACAGAGGCAGGAGCATGTGCGTAAATGGGACTGGCTTTGAAGGAAGCTCAAAGTAAATTCTGTGCAGTTGGCTCTGGAATAGTGCTTTTCATAGTGAAAGGAGGAAAAATGGGTTAAAGCTTTGTGTGCTTTTAGAGGAGTAAAATGCCTTGCAATCTTCACTTTACTAGCCCTGCCCTCTCCCTCTCCTGGCAGAGATCCGCACCACCAGGATGAGCTCCTCTCATCTGTGGAAGAGAGAGGCTAAAGGGGAAGTTGTCCCTCCCCTCGTGGGAACTTTTAAGCCAGTGTGGGAGACAGGAAGGTCTACAACCTATTCCCTCTGCTCACACTGCTTCCAGGTTTGCAGCCAAGGAGGTTCCAAGCACTGTAGCAGGTAGAGCAGAGACAACAGAATGGCTAGGGAAGTATCAGGGATAATCACCTAGTCACCATGTCCTGAATCCCTGACCTTCAGGAGACTACCAGGGGCCCTCTGCTGCTCACCCACGCTGGTGGCTATGGATTCTGTGGCTCTGTCAACCCAGCTCCTCAGTCTGCACCCTAGTGAGTGCCAGTCAAGAGAAGCTCAGGGAGAAGCCAGAAAAGCTTGCAGAAAACTAGCTTGCCTGTTTTCCCAGCAAAGTAATACTGATTCAGGGAACAACCAGGCTCAGGGGTATTACAAAATCCTCAGTACAGCCAACGTCTCTGACTGAATTCCTGCTTACAACATGCTGGAATTACCACCATTCACTGGGCCATAACCTACAGCTACATCAGGAGTGAGCCAAGAGCCTGCCTCTATATGGGAATTGAAACCAGATACATAGTAGGCAGTGATGAAAGCTGTGGCAAGGCCAGCAAGCAGGAAATGCCACAAAGAGGAAATGTTTGCTAGGTTCTTCTCCATTCTGCTTCAGTACTAGCAAGTCAGTGATGCTGTCATGGAAACTGAGAGTGAGAGCGCAGAGAGAAGCTGCTGACTGGCACATACCATATCCCAGCTCTGTGGCTTTTACAGAGTGGGGATAGCAAGAAGTGAAGAGCAGAATGGGGTTGGTATTTCCCTCTATAGAATTCTCTACATAGCTGTCATTCTTTAGTAGTTAATAGTTAAATATGTTAGACATTTAACAAACTTCAATCCCACCAAATACAAAAAAGGAGATAAAAGTGTCCTGGTTTTGCTTCTAGTCAAATATACTTAGAGGCTTGGGGAAGGGAGAGCTCACAGTAAAAGTAAAGCCAGAGGAATTTTTTCAGCCACAGGCCCCTAAGAAAAGAGAGGGAGCCCCGAGTTTCTAGCACGTCCCACTACATGATGCTTCTGGCCAGCACAGAACTGGCCCAACGGCAGGGCTGTGCACCACCTTGGTGCTGCCATAGCCTTGGTGCAGAGCACCAGGCTGGTGCCCTAAGCCAGGTCATGGAGGTGAGCGTGCTTTCACACGTGGTCAGAAGATACACGCCAGCAGATGGGAGATGCAAATGAAAGGCTGCCAGTACCAATGCCTATCTACATAGCATGCATTATCTCCAAAGCTGCTTCTATCATATTGCTGTAGAGAATGGATTTTTCTTCTGCAGCTTGCTTTTTCAGCACAACAGTAGCAGATTAAGCCAGGATGTTTCCACTGCCAGCTCCATCCAGCCATCTGTATCCCTAGGTGCGTGTAGTCGAATCCTACTGAAAGTCCCCAGAGGAACTCCCAGTTCGGGTCAACAGAAAAGAGCAAAGCACTCTTTAATTCTCATTTCCACATTCAAACTTTCATCAGCTACGTGTCCTGTCCCTTTCTGCCTGCAATAATTTTACGAGTTTGTTTGGGTTTTGTGAAATAGCTTGAAGTAAAGAAAATCAGGTTTCCTGCAGGAGGAGGAAACGGAACAATCTACCAAAGCCTCCCTTTGGTTAACACTGCTTTGTTACACAGATTTACGCTTCTGTGATTTGCAGCAGTAGAAAAACTTTTCTTACTAGTAAAAATAATCCATTGCCCATGCCCTTTGGTCAGCAAGTGACAAGCTTGAAAGAAACAAAACAAACTAAGCTGTTTTTTTAAATCTTCTCTTAAGTCATGAACTTTCAGTTGTTGTGCAGTATGGCCAGATTTGATTAAATAAGAAAAATACTCCTTTCATCTCATTAAGTAAACAGAGGGAGGAATTTTATTATAAGATTTTCTAAGTAGCAGCTGAAATTTACGTTTTTGAAAGGTTTGTTGTAGTAAAGGTAATGTGCTATTGGTTAAACTAATAATTTATTTTAGGATTTAACAATTTACTGCAAATACAAGGACCTCTGAAAGCCCTGTTTCGTTATTTATAAATACAAAACACCTTCACTAATTTTACAATAAACACTGAGGGTTTACATGATGTCACCCAGCGCCTTGACCACTGAATGTGTCAAAAGCGTAAATTTAATAGTATTTCTTCAAAGAATATTTTGTAGAGTAATATGACTTTTTTCCCCTTCTTCCAACTTGGCTGAATTTATAATGCCTTTAAAACACATTCTCATCACCTATAGGACTGTATGCAAATGTGTAAAGGGAGATTCCACTGTCTCGCTTATCTTCGGCATGCTGCTACCTTAAACATTTAACTTAATCAATAATTTGACATGTTGAAGGATCACAAAGTATAGACTATGTAGCAGTACTGAAATGAAGTGGTGTTCAGATAGGGATCTGGAGAAAGCAGTATCCACTTGAAAAACATCTGTGAGAAACTCCAGCCAGTAAGTTTTGCAAACTCTGTCTCAAAAATATGTATTTTGGGGTCACTGGTGGTAGTCAAAAGAATCCTTGGTTTGGGAATTAGTATTTAATTCATATATTGAGCAGGATGGCCAGCCAAGCGCAAGCTGTGAAGTTTAAGGCCTCCAGCTCTCAGGGAATCTAAAGAACCATGGGGCTTTGCCTCATACAGCCCTTGTCTCTCAGAAGGTACTTGAAAAGAACTGAAAATGTACCTTACCTTGGACTCCAAGTAAATGTTGGCTAAGGACATCTTGGAAATCTTATACAGGCAGATGGAGAGTGAAACAGCGCACAGCACAAACAGCGTGTCATTAATTGCCACCCGGACAGAGACAATGACTTTTCTCTCAGAATTCTGTGTCCTCACCAATACTGCACATGTTAAATTCACCAAGAGGAAGAGGAGACTTATGAAAAGAGAAGCCAGGTAGAGGGGCAACCTGGGAGAGTGAGGAGAAAACAGTTTTAGCAACATTGTTCAGCAAGTGTCAGTCATGAGATGGAAGTTGCCCTCTGAGCAATGAAAGCTGCACACGTTGGGCTGCCACAGCTGACAGTTACCAGACACCCGAGCCCAAATCAAAGTGCTCCAGATTGCTCGAGAGATTAATTCAGCTCATTTCAAACCTGTTTTCACAGTTACACAAGAAGCTGGAAGTAAAGAAACTAATGTCGAGCAGCAAAACATGGAAGACTGACTGCAGCAGAAATACAACACCACAATTCTTAAAAACTACTTAAAATCCACGTGTACTTTATTAGAGCATGCACAAACCCTCTGACTACTCATTGACAGGAGAAACATTGCAAAAGGTTGAGTTTCCTGGAATGGGCTGGTTTTGACCTTGGTTTTACTACACCACCACTGTCATAAGAAACATCACTGACTGCTGCTGTTTGCCATCAGATTTCATAATAATTTAGGGAAATCTCTAACAGTAGGAAAAGTCTCTGAGTTACTGGTTTCCCAGCATATTTCTCTGTCCCTTTTCCTAAATAACTTGGTCACGGGCAACCTCTTGAAAGAAACATCAAGAAATTTAACTAGGCATATTGACTCAGGGTTGGCATTTTGCCATCTGTGCCAGGAAAAAAGGTTCATTTGCACAACCACAGGAACAAAGCTGGAACAGAAATGTGACAGACAGAAGCCCAAGAGCTGGGCTGGTTTTCTCCATATGTTTTATCCAACCTACCCAGCAATGATACCTGCAATGTAAGTATACCACATACTCAAGTAAAGCTGCTTATAATTCCTCTTTACTCCTACACACAGCTGTGAATCTTTTCACTTAAAAAAAAAAAACAAAACCAAAAAAAGGCATATTTCCATTTCAGGTGTTTACTTACTTCATTATCATTGCTGACCAAGGCAATTACTGATAGGGGTCATAATCTGCAGTCACTGAACAAGAGGGTTTGGCCACAGCTTTTCATGACTGCTGGGAACTTTGAATTTGGCTGACAACAAACATCTAGACTGTCCCTGAGGAATCCAATCCTGATTGTTTAAAAATACTTTACTCAGTGATGATCTTTTTTTTTCACACATTCATATCCTTTTGGGACAGCATCAATGCGGCTACAAAGCTGAAGCATAGCTGGCTTCTTTTCAGAGGGCATGAAAGGAAGTGGTATACCTTGGAGATGTTTTAAATGTGTAACAGGGAAAACTGAAAGCCTACAAGTCCCTGTTTGTGAATCAGTGCCCTTCTTTTCAGCTATATCTGAGCGAGGATGCTGTCTTTTCCTTGCCAGTCACATAAATTCTCTCTCCGGGAAGACTCATTCTTAACCTTCCAGGGCAGGGCTCTGTTTTTAGGATAAGCAGCTAGGGGTAGTTCCTTTAAACCTCACAGTCTAACGCTGGAAGCACTGCAGACCTGAAGCTCCTCTCTCATGTGGCTTCCCCTGGAGAACGCCATTCCCAGTTGGAGTGGTGGTACATTTACAGCTTTTATTAATATCTTAAAAGTCTTTAAGTGGCGGTTATGTGTCTTCCTTTTCTCCCCCTCCCAAAATCTATTTAATAGTCTCATCTCTGCTTCCCTGCTGTAGTGCAGGTAAAATATTCCTGTGGCGTTTGGGCTTACAAAGAAAGGTATCCTCTTACATTCAGCCTGCTTGAGGAACATGTTCTCTTTTTCTTCATCTTAGTCAGAGGGACCTTCTGATTCAGCACAGCCTGCAAGCCCTTGATGCTGTCTTGTAACCAGCAAGGCTTAGAGGCTTCCAGGCCAGACACCTCCTTGATGGAGTTTAGAAAAAAAAAAAAAAGCACTGTCATGCTCTCATGCCCACACAGTCCCATACGTGCCAGGGTGAGCTGTCATGGCCAGTCAGTTGTGCAGCTCTTCACATAATGATCTTCCATCCCCCTTATTAACATGATGTGGCTGAGGAAACGGCTGCCTGTTTTGACAATAGAAGCACTGTTGATGAATTTCTGAATAAGCATTGATGGAGATGTAGGCTGTGTCTCTCAGGGCAGTTTTAGGGTCTCTGCAGCTGCAGAAAGCATTCTTAACTCACTTAAAGCAGAATGTATCCTTACATCTCAACTACAAGAGCACCTACGAGGCATGAATAAGTATATGGGGTTTTTTAAAAAATAGAAAAGTAGGGCAGGAAAAGTGTTTCCAGATTGCACCAGCGACTGTTCAAAAGCCTATTGTGCTTAATCCCCATTTTGGGGCTAGTCCCTTGAAAGGAGCTGTGTGTAATCTGGCTTGTCCAGGGAAGGCACGTGCCAGGGTGTTCTGTTCTTTCTGTGCCAGGCTGGATGCACCCCTAAATGTTTCTCTGAGCTTAAAATCAAACTTCAGATGAATGCAGTAAGTTTTGCCTTGTTTAACAGGAAAATCTGTCTGAAACTACTGCATTTTGTACATGGCTTCCTTCAAAACCATACAGTGTCTGAGGCTTGTGTGTAACAAGGCAGGCACACACAGCACAGCAAGCCTTATCCAAACCCAGTGACTGTAAGAAATCCCCAAGCCCAGGGAGATGTGCAGAAGGACTGTTTAAATATGAAGTTGGACTGGCTCAGGCTTCACCTTAAGATTTTTTGCCACAGCGACTAATATCATGTGAAGGCTGTGCTGATTAAAGTTTGCTTAAGCTCTCTGACAGGATTTTATCTTTTTTTTCCTATCTGAAATTATTCTGATTTCTGAGACCTGTGCCAATACATAGAACCGCAGTCCTGCCTCTCTGTTGCCTTGTTTATGTTGCCATTACCTATTGCAGAAGTGTCAATAACAGGCAATAAGGTCTGACACTTATTAAAGAAAATGGGGGGAAAAAATCAAAGAGAACATTCAGCAATGAAGAAAGATCAAATTCAGTAAGTGTAGACTCCAGCCCCTGTCTGAATGCCATCCATCTTTCTAACATCCATCACCCATCTCTCCATCAGGATTTGAGCAACTTGATCTAATGCAAGGTGTCCCTGCCCAGGGGACAGCGGTTGGACTAGATGATCTTTAAAGGTCCCTTCCAACTCGAACCACTCTGTGATTCTATGATATTTCATTAGCCTGTTACAGTTAAGATTCAGGACCTCAGCTGTGGGTGTGCACATACTATACCACTTCAATTGCCCTGTATAAGATAGGAAACGAGGTCAGATTTATTTATATGGCTCTTTTACACAGGCTAACCACATTCATGCTGAGATATCTTGATATTAAAACAAAATACTACCAAAGTCCTGTACCAACATAGCTGAGTAAGAGAGAAAAGGCTAATCCAGATCCAAGAGTGATTCGTGTTAGAAATGAAGTAGGCAAGAGTCAGGGTGGACATGGAGCTGCTGTGGGAAGGGTAGTCTGTGCATGAGTAATTCCAGTCACAATACACAAGTGTTTTGGAACAAAAACACTTCAAGAGCTACATGCAAGGTGCTAATGTAGTAATTTCAGAGGCATTGACTAAATATCACAAGCTCGCTTTGCTTAAAGAAAGAAATTTTCAAGCAGTTTTCAGGAATAAAGTCTTGCCACAAACATCAGTAACAGATGCGGTTCAACGCTTCTACCTCTCACCTCTAAAGTCATCCAGGGACATGTTCACAGACCTGCCCTATACAACCCTGACCTGCTGCCCGGGCTTTGTGCAAAGCTGTCCTCTATGTTCCTCTTGCCTATGCGTACCATCAGGGGCAGGCACACTTGCACTGGGGGCTGGCTGGGGACCTGGCTGGTGTGTGCCGTGCTTGTTTCTCATCCCATACTCCTGGATTTCCTTCCCACAGAAACCAGAGCACAAAGGGAGGTGAATGTATTTGTATGCCACTGTGTTTACCTGGGAGCATCCAGCTCTTGCCCCTTGTGGTTTGGGATGTAGCCAAGGTACACACAAAGACCCACTAACTTGAAAGCATTCCTGAGGCCACCAAAATAGATGCAGCCTCTCTGTTCCCATTCCAACCATTTCTGCATGAGCTGCAGTTCAGCGTGGAGTCCACAACCCTCAGTCAGCCATCACACCCTGCGTGTTCCATACCCTCACCAGCCCAAGGACAGCCCAGCCCAGGCCTGCTCTGACTGTACTCCCATTCTACCAAACATGGTGTCTGAAGCACTTGCTCCAGATGATCGCCTCCCCAGTTGTATCAAACCCCAACTGGATAACAAACTTTCCAGGGTAAGAACAGTGTTAATATTTGACCTGTTGATACAGTACTGTGTTCTGTTAGTCAGCAAGTAACAGGTCAGACTTCAGTTTCAAACTACTCTTTTTCTAGCCTGAATTCAGGTCGTAAATTCTTTCTTTAGAATGGAGACAATCTCTCTTTCTCCAGCCCCCACCTAAACAACATTGCCCGACCGAGGCTTTTAGGCATTGCCACAATAAACATTAATTTATTGATCTCTTCCTCAGCTTTCTGCACATTACTGCCCTTTGGGGAGCTTTCAAGTAGTTCTTGACAATTCCTCCTGCTCAGTAAGATCACAAACAAATCTCTCCACCTAAATGCAAAGCTAGCTTTATCTCAAGCCTGTGGATTTAGGGGAGGTTATCTGTGAGCTCCAAAACACATCAAGTTCAACCCATTCTCTGTAGTTCTTTCCCTTCACAGCTTTCATCTTCCCAAAACTTTTGAGTCTTTTATTACCACTGGACTCAAAAATTAATACATACCCAGTCCCACTCATTCCTGTCAGAATAAATACATCCCTCTGCTACCTTTACCAAAGCATGGGATCTGAATTCACCTAGCAATACAAATGTTAACTTGTAAACAAATCATCAGGGTGAGTGCTTTCTGTGCTTGCATTTGAAATATTTGCCTTTGAGATATGTGAAGGTTTAAAAATGGTGCTTGTGTTGGGAAATGACAGAGACTTCTAAATGTCATAAGAAGAAGCTGGCCTCAGAACCATCATCATAAAACACTGATATATAAATATGAATAGCTGAGATATGAGCACCACAAATGATAAAAGATGTAGTGTTTCTCAAAAAGCATGGCTACTTTTCTTTACATTAAATGTTTGCATAGTTCTTACCTGTATTTCAGTAGCTCTGGGGAATATTTTGACTTAGCTTTGAAAATGACCTGCAAAACAGAAAAATATTGCATCAAACATATATGTAAGTAAAGAAAGACTCTGCTCTGCAGGAATCCTGTCTCACAGGTCACAAGAAATATAATGATAGGTTTCATTACATAACAGATTTGCATTTATTGCTTATCTGTGGCAGGCAAGCTCTAAGCAAAGTATTAAAACCACTCAGCAGGTGATCACAATGTCCTTGTACACAAATTGTCTACATCATTATTTTCACTTACTTTGGCTTGGAAATAAGGCTCTTTATACCAGTATTCACAAAAGGACCAATGCCACTATAACCATAGAGGCAAGTAATTATTAGGCTCTTACATGACCTAACAGTACATGTTTCTCCCCTAGAGCAGCTCATACAGGCTTATTGGGTCAGATGCTCTGTTTCCATGACGAGCCATTCATAGTACCCTGGACTGAAATTGGATATATGTATATTGTATCCATGTTACATTGCCAAAAGGATGCCATGGAGAACCAAAATAATTTATTTACTCTGAGGTATATTTGGCTTCTGCTGACTGTCTGTTCACTATACAGCAATATGAATTTTTAGAGAGAGATAGCTTAGGCCCAATAATAACCTTGCTGTAACAGAAAAGAAAAAATACTGACATGTTTTCTGCAATGTAGCTAAGTATTTATTATCAGTCATGAGCGTTTAACCATCAGAAATCACACTAAAATATTTTAGCATATTTTATATCTTATTTATTTAAAAAATTACAGGGAAGCATCACAGCTTTTTCATAAGGTAATGTGGTTTCTGAACACACTCAGTTTACAAACGTTCATTTAAACCAACACTGAAGCACACTGATTGCTAGTATTACCAAAAAACATGCTGTATGACTTTTTCTGAGTTGTTTCCTAATTGTTTTACCCTCAAGTTATCTTGCCTTATCTATTTCACTTGGTTTTGCATGCCCTTTAGTATAGCTTGCATAGTATTTCTATGATTATCATCCTTTCCCAAGGAAACAGGCCTTACATGATCACTACGTATGTGTCTGCCTGTCACTCTGTTTATCTGTTCCCCCACTAATCTTAAAATCAAAGACATGATTCTTTATGACCCTCCTAAAATTAGTGACCTAACAGAAGTAAGGAACCCCATAAATGCGTCTGATATATGACCTCTGTGAGGAGAACCCTGCATAATGATCCCACACATCATCCAATATGAGAGAGTCTGCATAGCAAAGTGTCGTAAGATATGCCCCAGTTATGGAAACAGCTCAAAGTCAAGCATGAGACATAGACCTGGAGAAAATCAGGCTTCACTTGTTCCAGCAGTCCTGGAACAACTTGTCATTTAACTCCTATTCACCATAAACAGCTGCCTTGACATGGAAATTATTTTTGTGACGCATCAGCCTGCTTAGCACTAGCTGAACCAGCAGAGAACACTGAGCTTTTCAGCAGGCCCTAGAAAAATAAGAGCCAAGAATAAAATTGAAAAGTTGGGGAAAAAAAAATCTCTAAAAATATTCTGCAACCATTGATACTGTTTTCAAATAGTTAATATCTCTGGCAGCTTCCCTCACAAAAGATTTTTGTGATTCATTCTCCAAATTCCTGGATCATGAATTCTCGCAGGGGTTTAGGAATAAGTTTTATGTTGTTTTACTTACTTGCTACTGAAAGGAGAGGTATAAGAGGCTTGTGAATGTTCTGTGTTTCCATGGTGCACAAAGAGGGGCTGTCAGTTTTTAGAGAAGAGATGGGGTTCAAAATACTTCCTGTATGCTTTTTATACTAGACTTGTTGCCTACCCTGCTTATTCTGGAAGACACTGTGGGTAAGCAGGAAGGAACAGATTCCTGACCTCAGTGAAACTAAACAAGTAAAACTTGTCTTTAGGGCCATTCCACAATCCTCACCTGTTCTGAGTAGCACTTACTCACACATATTGTACCGTTAATTTTGACAGCTTTCCAGAGTAGCACTGAACAGAATTGTTCAGAGCCTGTGCAAAAGACAAACAACTTGCAGTGGACAATGAGTTGTGCTGGGTGGTCCACAAAACCTAGAAAATTCACAGGTTCCTGAATACCATCTCCTGTGATTCCCCCAAAAGATCCACTCACAGAGCGTTCCTGCCACACAAATGAGCCCAAGGCTGTCCTACCTAGCAAAAGCTCCATCAATAACTTAGCTAAAGCCAAACATGATGCTCCTGCTGCAGATCCAGCAGGATCTGCAGGTACAAGATTGTCAAAACAGCTGTTACTGTGATTCCATGTTTGGTGGGCCTCTCCCAGACAATTAATGCTTCTGAAATTTATGAGAGCAAAATGACCATTAAGAAAGAAAATGAACACCACATAAAAAATTGATACTATATAGATTAGACGTGGACACTCTTATAAATTCACTGCTAAACAGAAATACGGGTGGCCAAGTTCTGCCACCTTTGCTTAAACCTTGCTTAAATACTGATGGGACCTTAGTTCATGAGTAGCCTTGTTGGAAGCAATGTGATTGTCACAGAATAAAGGGCTGTTCAGTGGGAGTAAAGATGTCAGAAGCTGATCTCAATATACCTTCCATGTGTGGGTGCAGCTTTTTGCTTTTAACAGTCATTTAGCTCAAGAGACTGGTTGCTCAATGGCCCCTCCCCATAACAGTGTTGAGAAAGCTTCCAGTCAATATCTGAGTCATCTAAGCAAGTCTTCCAGCAAACCAGAGCAAACCAGGCTATTCCTAAGAATAGACTAAAGCAAGCAGAAAGCAGACCTTTTAAAAAGACCTTTCAGACAGCCCCAAGATGAACAGCAACACGGAAAACTCAGTGAAAGTACTTGCTAATTTTCTAATGTCTAAAGGCTTAGTTTTTCTTCTTAAAAATATTTCCCTTTTTGCTTGTTCTTTAAAGGAGAAATATCCTGTTTTGACTCCTTGTTTATGCCGAAGGACTGGAAACCTCAAATGAGATTCTCACACTCCCTCCTCCACTCCCCTGAGGTGTATGTCTGGCATATAAAACTGCAGCAGTACAAAAGGACTCCAAAAAGCCCTTCATACAGCCAGGGAAAATTCCTGTTGCAGGAACTGATGTAAACAGCTGCCCTTAAAGACATTTTACCAGGTCCCAGCAGAAGAGCAGTGAGGATGGCATGGGAGTCCATCAGCAGCTCACCTGCAGAGAGCTCTGCAGAGCTGCTGGGCAGCAAAGGCAGCAGCCAGGGCCAGGCTGCTGGAGCATAAGGGGGTTCCAGCTATGATTATGAAAGTTAAATCAGGAGCCCCTCTGGCTCTGTAAGTATCAATGAAACAGGTGTCAAAGCCAAGTCACATATTTCCAGAGGGGAAAAAAAAGTAAAATCTCACAGAAGCAATTTTCTGTCCATGCTGTGATTTAGCCGAAGTGATGTGACAGCTGGCACAAACCGCCCGTGTACCTCTTGTGCTGGTTGATCAGTTCACTTTTACTGGAGCTGCAGCCCACCTTACCAAAGAGCCTCACGTATGTGTTAAGTGCTTGCATATGTCTCAAGTTGGCCCTCTGCACAGGAATGAAGTTCATCTCTATTTACCAGTTCTCATTTCAAAATCTCTGTAAGAAGCAGAGCGTGTACTTTTCCTTCCCAGTTCCTTTCACCACAGCCCCTCTCTTCCTCTGTCATGCTCCATGCAAACTTCTCTTTGCATGCTGAAAATATGCCACAACCTCATGCAGGCCCAGAGCCCCTCACCATCAGTGCATATACCTTTCCTCTGCTGCATATCTTCCAGTCCCAGGCCCATCATCCTCCTTCTCTCTCTCGTGTTCATTCTTTCATTTGGATCAGATTCCCCAAAATATGTAAGTTTTTGTTCTGTTCTCTAAACTCTACATGGTTTGTAAGGCCTACTTGTCCATATGAGCAACATGACTCACTACCATACTCAGCGTCGTGTAAATTGGTAAAAATAGTCCTGACAGGACAAGGACCATTGCGGGGCTGGCAGCCACAGTAAACTTGCATGTGTAGCTTTCCTATAAAATTATTTTCTAAGTCAAATGACCTAATTCTTCATGTCAGATGCTGATAGCCAGCCAATCTGCAGTTGCAACTTGTCTCCTAGAGATCCAATACTGAGGGTAATGTTTTACGCCAAACATATTTGTTGATGCTTCACCATTTGTAGTTGACTCCCGTGTAGTTCTGTGTACATCTAAAGCATGCTTTAAATTAATAATAAGCTGTATAATACATCGTGTATTCATTTCTACTAAAAATTAAGTATTTCTTCTAAATAAAAAGCGTGCTCTGCTCTCTCAGTGGTGGTATTACATTTGAAATGCTATCCCCACTAATTAGAGGATGAGAAGTTCTCTTCATTTTCCTCCCAGAGCTAACACATATGCCAGTTCCACTGAGTTACAGGTAACCTTCCCAAAAGCCTTGTGCTGGTTTTACCCTGCCCTGCCAGGCACTTCCAGCATGGCCCACTCCCCTCTAAACTGTCTTACTCTGTACAATTTCTGTACGTTTGAAAGTCCCTGATTTTATCAGCCCTGCCTGGGAGGCAGGGTAAGCTTCTCAATCTGGATGCCAGAGAAAAGGGAAGATGGTTAAGGAGGAGGAAGGAGAGGTAAATTTGCCTACCAGCCCTTCTCCACCCATACAGCCTCACAGTTCTTGAGCTCAGCACCATGTTCCCTAGGTCCTGGAGAAGTTCCCAAACTGATGGCTAAACCTACAGACTACCAAATGGTTTGCTGTGCCTGGCCACAGGGGAGGCCTGGGATTTCCAGCATCCCCTCTGGCTCACGGTCTTTGGCCCTGACCTTGTTTTTTGAGACTGTAACCCTCCACCCGAGCCCCCCTCCTGCTTCATTTGTATTCTGTTCCCCAGGGAAATGTAAAGTCTGAGCAAACAGGACAAAGTCAAGCAAGCCCTTCTCTGCCCACCCCTCACACACACCAAAAAAGGCAACTTCTTAGTTTATTTCCCAGAGCCTCTTCACACTTTCACCCACAGCACTGACTGTAAAGCCTGAGGACTCAACCTCAGTGGTCCCTTGTTAGGCACAGGGAAGATGCGGCTAGGCAGGGCATCAAGAAAAGAGTGCCTGAGCCCTGGGATCCTCACTGTCTAGAGTCACTTACAGTGGAAAATACGTTATTTGCTGATTTGCAGTCTTTGCTTTATCAAGCAGCAAAATAAACGTGTGGGAGCTGCAGATGTGAGGCAAAGGTATCTAGGGGTTTTTATGGTCTGTGTAGGTGGAAATGCACACTTCAGCTCCCTCTCTGATGGATCAGGATCAGGGAGCTGCTCTGGCTTGGTACAACACACTTATTTGCCAGTGTTATACTATTGTTTTACAAAAGTGCTTTTTATTTTAATGATTTCTAAGTAAGCAGGCTTATCCTGAGAGGGTAGGTCACATTATCTTTTTTCTTTAGAAGAGAATGAATACAGACACAGCATTAATAAATTCAACACTCTCATTACAAATCACATGTATTTTCTCCAGTATGGGGTTTCTGAGAGGACCTAATATCATATAACCCTTAACTATAGCACCCTTTCTATTCTGCCCTAAATAGGGCATCAAGACTGTAGCAAAGGACCCTGAACTTGGCTCTTAATCCGAAGACCCCTTGTCCTGAGTCAAAAGTATTTTGATTGTAACTTCTCTTTCGTCCACAAGTCCCCTGCTTCAGCAACCCGCCCCAACACATTACAGCTCCTTCTGCTGTATCTGCTGATGGTGATGCTCAAGCCTGGGAACAGTCCCTGCTGTGCTGATGTCATCACAGCTTATTTGTGTTGCTACACATAAAATACAGTTGAAATTTGCATTCCCATTGCTTTGGGATACTTATTAAAAAGAGAATAGTTGTGGCTAACTTTCTGTCAAATTCAAAGGTGCTTATTATTCTGAAAAATGACCTCAGGCACTTGCCGAATGAGTTTTTTTGCTTGGCCGGGAGGATTTGCAATATTTTTTGAATCACTTTTTCTTCTCACATCTATGTCTAAAAGTTTTCCTAGCAGTGCCACATTTAGAAATGGTGGGTGCTGTACTGCAGATAATAAACACTTGCAAATTCCAGAGAACCATAAGGTCTCTTCCAGCCAGTCCTCTGTCTCTATACTATAGATAGGTCCCTTCTTTCCCTCTAGCTAAGCACAAGTTAAATAGCATGGTTTGCATGCAAAGAGACAGCTGCAGACCCTTCTTGCCTGCCTTCTAGAGAAAAAAGAATGAAAGTTGTTTCTGAACAGGTCTGTGAAGTTATAAGCCATTACTGAAAACAAAAATCTCTCTCCCCACCCCTTTCACACTAGTTCTTGCTTGCCTACTGGGGAAAGCTAGATGCACATTAAATATGGAGTCTCAAGAAGGTGCTGAATTTCAAGCCAAACCACCTTTTAATGGCTAGAAATAAAGAATTAATAACAGTGAATTAAAAATATGTGCACTTATTCTGTGTCTTACATTATATTTGTACAATGATGTGATGGTATTTCTTAAGGCTTTGTTTTGGCTGGGGAGATATTTAAGATGAGATTTCACTGGGAGCAACCAGCTCTAAAGCAAACAACAATACTAATAACATACCTGTCCACAGTGGCCCACGAAATTTAAAGATTATGACGCACATCACAGACTCTGAAAGTCCCTTGCAAACACTGTTTCAAAAGCCTCACAAGAGCTCTTCAAGACAGGTAACTATTACACTCTTTTATAGAGGGGCTCAGAGGAAGATTGTGAGGACTCGTCATGACAAAGCAGAAATTGTCTCGAAGGCAGAACCAATAGCCTTAGCATTTTTTCTGTTTCCAGCCACTGACTTGTACTTCCTGAATGATATTAGACAGCAATGCCAAAAATAAGTTAAAAGCACATATGTGTGCATTCTGTATGCTCCCTTTTTATATCTTCCTTAGATGAAAGGAATCAGTTACTCGCAATATTAAACCCCTGAGTGCTGGCACGCTAATGCAGAGTGCAGACTGCTGTGCCCCCTCTGTGCTCAGGGCTTCTCTTGGTGCAGAGCCAGGATGCTGCATCCTGCCTCCAGCTTTCTACAGCAGCCCTGTGTGTCTGTGCGTGTGTCTGAGGGAAGAATCTGACCAAAGGCTGTGACTTGGTCCCAGCTGCTGTGATGGGGATGGACTCAGCAATGATGGACGTTTGCCCCTGGGGAACGGCACCACTATCAAATGACTCTCACAATAACTGTGGGATAAAGCATAGGTCACCACATGCCTGAGCTGGATTTGAGTAGCATGTAGATGAAAGATTCCTGTAATCCCTTAATTGATCTCAAGTCCCAGGGAGTGGAGCAGGGTGAGTTAGCAAGTGTTTCAGACACTGAATCCAGAAAAGTAAACCTAAGCACAAAACTGTGTATGCGGTTCTAAGTATTTAATACCCTCTACAACTCAAGTGATCCTCTTACAGCTGTCATGCTTACTGTTGCTGCTTTTGCAGCTCTGTGATGGCAGCTCTCACAAGCAGCCTGATCTCTCCGGTCAGGCTGTTCAGAATTGACAGGCCTGTAATCACTACAGAGCAGTCTTAAACACCTGGAGCACTGCAGAAGCACACAGGCCCAGCATCAAACTGGTTCCAAGTGGGGCACACAGCAACACCCAAAGCATCCTGAGCACTGCTGGGGGTGCTCCAGGGCTGGCTGGTGCTCTCCTGGCCAACAACCCCTGCACCGGGAAAACTGACTTTGCCAAGGGTCGTCTGAGTGCAGGCTTGGCTTCCTGCTCCAGGCACCGCTGTAGGATTGAGGAGATAGAAAATCCAGTCCCTGCCCTCCTGCAAGCTTCCTGTGAGATTTTAGGCAAGCCTGGCAGCCTTTCCTTGCCTCAGCATGACAATATCCCATCCTGCAGCCCAGTGCCAATATACCCAAGCTCACCGTAAATACTTCCCAGCCAGTCTAACTGCAGCAACCTGGAGTGCTGTGCAGCCTAACTCATCAGGCTTCTTAGCTGTCTGTAGTACAGATACAGTCTCAAGACCTCTTTCTGAAACAGAGATACTATTTCCTTTACCCCACTATGCAACTAATTTACCTTTACATCACAGTGTCCTTGAAATAGAGGGGGTATCTCTGTACTTAGCACTTACTGGGGTCCAGAGTCACTGCTATTTGTAATAAGATCATTAGGGGAACTTGGGTCGGAAGTAGGACTCCATCAACAGTTTTGGCTGTGAAACACAGAATAGAAATCTCTCTCACAAACACATTAGACAACTTACGAAAAACTGAGGTGGGGGGTTGCCAGCAAAATTAGAAATTATATTCTGACTACAGACAGAGGTCAGGTCTGCTAAGCCAGGAGGTTTATGAAGTCTAGTAACAACAAGAATAATAATAGAACGGCATTTTGGATGTCCAGCTTTCAAGCTCTCCTATGCATTTTTCCCCCAATGTTTAAATTAAATAACACCCATTTAATAGACAATAGATCTATTATTTGCCATTCTTGCAATGATAATTTCAGGCTCCAGTATCATTGTAACACTAATCACTTGCATTTAGATCAAAAGTTTAACTTTCCAACTAAATAACTGAAATTTGCTTTTTGCATTGCTAAAGTACATTAGGAAACCACATTTTTCTGATGATTCTTATGTAACAATGCTTTACCATTCTGTCACATTTAATCAACCAAATATCTGTTGCTTACCTGTGTGAAGTAAAGATTCATCAGGGTCAGGGTGAAAAACTGGAGGCAGACTGGGAAGCAATAGAGAAGCCAGAAGATGAAGGGGCTGAGAGAATTTGCTGTGACAAAGTCTTTGAAGTAAAATGAAAAGAGCACAGTCCTAAGAGAGGCCCAAAACAAGCACAGAAACAGAAAGACAGTTTGGTAACTGAACCTCTTGTGCCTGTAGTGAAGGACCAGCCAGAGCTGGACGTAGATGAACACAAAAAGCAGTGAATAAAAAACAGTATATACAATGGTCAGGCCCAACTTCACATACGGAGGGACAGCTGGCGTCAGGGTCGGCGGAAGGGTGTCATTTTTCAGTGGGTCCCACTCAGGGGCCTCCATTTGATATCAGGAATCGTCAGAATTATTTATTAAGTTTGGCTGCCGCTGTTGCCTCCTCCTCCTTCTCCTTTCATCTTCCTACAGCATAGGAATCAAGAAAATGAAAGAAAACAAGCTGCACTTCCTCTTTGGCAGCTCACTGTGGGCTGGTAGCACATGATCACAATTCAGAATGATTCATTAGGACTGCCTTTGTCAGCAATTGGCAGGGAACAGCTCAGAAAGCTGCCCTTTGCTGATGTTTGTGCACGAATCTTTACCATCCTTAAGAGACAAAGAAATCCACCAGCCCCTGAACGTTTTACTGCTGATTTTTTTCCTGAGGAAAACTATCTGGATTTTAAATTAGTTAAGTAATGTTCTATTTTCTACAAGAAGCAGGTACCTGACATTTTCCCAGTAGCGGCCACATCGTCTCTCTTTAGGATTTTTTTTCTCCTATTTCCCATTTAGCAAGTACTTTATTTAGCTGCATTTCTTTAGGAATAATTTTAAACACTTTAAAGTACTCGTGAAAATCAAACCACCGTAACAAGCTATAACAGTTCAGCTCTGCATTGCAGAAATATTTGTGTTTATAAGGAAATACACAATTTTCACAGAAAATCTGACACATTCAGTATCTTCTTTTTCTTCTAACATAAGGCATTTCATTAGAATGGGAGAAAAGGCACATCAAGGCTTCCAAACATGGTGTATACAGGAACAAATAAAACCCCCTAAATACCCAAATTCACCAAGGTGTACATGCAGCTACAGGTTCTTTTCTTCTTGGTTGTTGTCTGTTTGTGCCATCACTGAGGCAACAGCTGACCAGACACGCCTTCTCACAAGTGTGCAGATGTGCCCTTGGGATTAAATCTATAAATTAATAGGTGCTATGGCAGGCTGCTAGGTTTGACTCACAGGGGTGAGAAGTGAGAACTGAAACTGAGTGGTTTAGACATTTGTAGCATGGTGGAAATGCCTCATGTATCTCTAGGTCATGAATAACGTCATACACCATCAAATAACAAGTTTTTTAAAAGATATTTTGGTTACAGCTGGAGCACTGCTATCTTTTTTTCCCTATTGTTTATAGTAAACTGATTACAAGAAGTGATAATTGTGCTTATTAATGTAAATACAGCCTATGTAAACTTGCGTAGTCCTTTTAAAAGATCTCTAAGTTCTTTAAAAAGGTCTCTAAGTGAAGCCCATCCTGCCCTAAAAACACCCACACTGAACACTTAAAGCTATTATATATTCCAAAATCCATGTTGAGGTACTGAAACATAAGCAGTTTGATTTTAAAGGCACTAAGCAAACTCAGCTCCCATAGACTGGAAAGGGATCTGTGGGTTCTTAGTGCCACTGTAAATCAGGTCACTTCTCTTAAGGCATCTAGGTATGATCTTAAGACCCTCACCAGGAGCAGTCAGCTTTGGAAATCCTGGATAAACAGCTTACAGAAGCAGGGTGATACACAGCACCGAGTGGCTGTGTCAATCTGACTACATGTAGGAATACAGAGAACACACAGTGAATGATGAGAAAGAGGAGAGACAATAAGAAATGTCCAAGAACTAAAAATCACATACATGTACAGAGGTAGATATGTTAGAGCTTGCACAGAAGGATAAGTTTATGGCTTCAGTATAAATACTCTGGGACTTAATTTTAAATCAGCACCTGCTCCTAGAGCCTGCGTATTTCCTGAAAAAATGTAAAATTGACTCGATACCAGGATAGAAGACGGAAAACTAGCAGTTACTGAAGCAAGTCTGTCAGAGAAGCTGTCTGTACTCAGGCCATCACGTTCATTGGTCAAAGACGGGGAAGATAAAAGGACTGGACCGGAGTTTCGACAATATGGATAACAAGTAGAATAGATACAACAAAATATATTTCAATACATACTACAGAAGGCTCCGTCTTCCAGATCAGGAAAACATCTTCCCTAGATTGATACATACTTCCTTCTAACAGATAAGGAAAACCTACCTCTTCCTAGCCTTCCCCAGTTCTACTACTAATAGGCTTGCCTTACAGATCCCTTGATCTCTGCAACCCCAGTGCACACATGAACTATCTAGAGGTCAGGGTACAGCGATAATAAATTCAGTGGGTTACACACCACCTCTCTGCTCTCAGCACAAACTTTCTGATTATGCTTGTGGCTAACATTAACCCACAGTGGCCATAAGCACTCTATTGCTTTTTATCAGTGACCTATAACAGCTCTTCACAGCTTGTGCTATAAGACTTTAACCTGCTAAATGAGGGTAAAGGCTTCCATGACATGCCATCAGCAAAACCACCAGTATTTTAAGACTGCCACATGCCTGAAGTATGCTATAGAATGTACAGAGAAGCAGGAATCCATTTCCACCCAACAAACTGCTGGTTTCCCATAGTGCCTCTGTGGATGTGATTGCCAACTCACACATTGTGGGCAGCATGTTGTAGGGAGCTGAAGAAAGCTGCGGCTCCCTTGGTCAGGTCTTGCCAAGGGATGGCAAAGAACAGTGGTCCCACAGACTGCATCACAGTCGTGTGTCATTGCTAGTAGGTTGGCAAAGGTTGGCTGGGAAAGTCTGCATTGCAGCGTTACAAGAAAATTCCTAATAGACCAAACTTCCTGTGCAGCTCGCCAGTGCTTAAGAAGTTCAGTCACTGCTTGGTCTTCAGCACGCTCCTGCTGCTGTCTAGGGATGTTGGGCAATTCCAGGAGATCTGTTTGTGTTACTGTTTTCTTTCTAAGGGTCACTGTCCAAAGGAATAAACTTGAGCGGAGCTCAAGGGCTCAAGAAGTTGCTTAGCTAGGCTGTCCCACTGCTATTTGACTTGAAGTGAACAAAAGTAGATAACATGAAATATCTGGATTCTGCAAGTTGAACTGCTGCACTGCTCCTGAGCGGAGAGGTCTAGAGTTCTCATCTTTGATGTCACTTGCAATTAATGAATTTGCTGGCAAGACTGTTAGTGAATCACTGTGTGCTAAAGCACTGTGTGCCGAATGACTCTCACTAGTGTGTAGTTCAAAGTCTTTCAGAAAGGGTTCTGCAGAACAGAGCACTTCTAGGAAGTGAATAAAATAAAGTAATTTAAGATTTTGTTAGATACAATCCATCTTCATCTTTGATTTTATACTGTGGTAGTCCAGAGAGTTTGTTCTCAGTTACACTGGCAGGGTTTTCATTCTTTTGAGGTTTCACCATTTCTTGGATTGTGTTTATTACAAATACCTGTCTCTCACGGTTTAAACCTCAAATACTGAGTAAAGTATCATACCTGGACCTTAAAGTCTGTCCTTCTTCAAAAGTTGCTTTTCCCTAAAGTTATCTGAAAAATTGTGAGAGGCTGTTCCATCCTGTTCCACCCCAGCTGGAGACACACCTGGAGAGGTTGACAGATAGGGAGGCCTCTTGCCAAACAAAAGAAAAGGAGATGGTATTCTGGTTCAACATTTTCTTTTGCTCTGCACTCCATGAGGTCTACAATTACAAAACTCAACATTTTGAAGGAAATAATTCTTGCTATTTCTTCTCAGAAACCAAGTGGGACAGAAATCTGCTGTTGAACAAGATCCATCAACTATCCGGTAGAGAGTGGGTGTATTCAGACTCTCCGAATTAGACAAAAGGTAGAGATACTGTAGAATTCATGATGATTTAATTCACCTGGATTTGTCACAACACTTACACCTCCTCTTTCTTCATTTTGTGTTCTGCAGAAATACCAGCTCACATGCTTGCAGTTCACTCATTTCAATTTAAATGTTTTTCTGGAAAGGCAAATTCCCCTGAAGCCTTTAGTAGTGATGTGGCTATTAGAATAGAGAAATTTAGCTATGTGGTGTAAGCACACACCCTCTGTGTCTAATACTCAGGCCATTGCAATTCAGTGCATTACATGGTAAGATGTCACATTTCCTGATGAGAGATGGTGGCCAGGATCCTGAAAGGAATGGACATTCCCTTGGAACAAGTTCAGGAATCTGATTTAACTACAGGGCAGGCACCTAAACTAGTGCCTGCTCAACATGATGGATGAGTTAGCCAGTAAATCCAAATTTCTCATTTGTCTTTGGATTCTGAAAACCTTGTATTTCTGAATGCTACTACATTGCAGAGCATGAGTAGTACTTAGCCTTGGAAAATAGTGCTGATGGGATACTTCCATCCTTCACTCGGTGTGGGATCATCTCCAAGTCAAGGACTACGTCACCATCTTTGGGATCCGGCGTCTTTGTGCCATTCAACATTTAGCAACTCTGGCAAAAGCCAAACAGAGGGCTGGGAACCAGTTTTCTCAAGGGAAAAAATGTCCTTTCATTGTTGGGCTTTCTCTGTGCCTGGGCATGTTAGATTTCACTATTAATCCTGACACAGACCTTATACTCAAAACATGTCTAAATAAAGCCCTCATAATAAATCAGGATTTATTATTCTAATCTCATTTAGGTCATACAGTGGCGTACAACAGTACAGATGTAGGGCCTTAACCCATAAGCCTTAAGGCAGCCAAAGCTTCCATTGCCTTCAAATAAAGTGATGCCTATGCATCAAGGGCAGGAACTCACCCGCACAAACTAATCAGAGTAATGCAAGTAGCAAGAAAACTGAAGTTTTATAATTTCAGCCAATACCTGACCAGAAGAAAATTTGCTAGAAGAATTAAATATGTTCCTCAGTGAATAGAGGATTGAAAAAGACAAGATTCTGTGAAACAAAAGCATCAGAACATGAGTGCTTTTATTACATTTTGGTTTGTCTCTGTTAGGGTGGTTATACATAGATTTCAGGCTCTCATGCAGATTTTCTCATTGCACAACACACAACAGGAACAGACTCAAGCTTGGAGATGCAGTCTGCATTCCAGACTGCTAAGAAAGTCTTGAGCACCCTGAAATTTCTGTCCATGCTGCATGTTCCCTGGGGTTTAAAACAAGACTCAGCAATCTGTAAAACTAAGATTAAAAAGCACGAAAAGGATTTTTTGCTTTTCACTGTTTAAATCATTCTTTGGAGCCTTCCGTTTTCCAGATGCCTCCATAACCCAGAAGGCAACTTTAAAGCCATGTTAGCTCAAGTACCACATATTCTCTCCTTTCCTAGCCTCCTCTGTTTTCTTTGACTCAGAGTTTACCCCCTTCTTTGCATCCCTCCCCAACCTCCACTGGAAAAACCCATAAAAGAAGCAATAAAGCAGTTAGGTATTTCCCTTCAGTGGGGAGTCCCTTAGATGCATCAGTCAGATGGGTATGAGCTAACTGGAAAAGGGAAGTGGGCTAGATGTAGACTGACAACAGAGGGAGATGGATTTGACTGCTAAAGACCACCTGGCCCACTGTCTGGGGTTTTGTATCATCTGTGACACATCCTGGCAGGGAGCATGTATTCTCAAGATCCTTGATGACTAAAGAATAAAAGCCCAGTTAAATAGGGATAATTTCAGCCACATCCAGTAAAAGGAGTTAATTCATTTTCTTCCTCTGGCTTCTGATACTTAGACAATAGTAAGTATCTGGTTCACAGCTAATAAAGCCACACGTTAGAAATCATCTGCTTCAGCCCTGATTATCTGCTCATTCAAGCAGCTGAGAATTCAGCTGTGGAAGCAAAGTCCTCAATCTTGCTCAATCCTTCTCAGTGTAATGCCTGGAGAGGGGTTTTTAACTCCAGTATCCTAAATCTACTCCAGTTGGTGCTGACATCCATACTGGCTCAGAGGACTGTGCAGTGTTAGGAAGTGGGCTTACAGATAGCCTGAGCAGCTTGATGTTTCCCTGCTTTCCTAAACTGTGTTTGGCAAGGCTGTCCTCTGTGTGGTCACTGCAGAAACTTCAGCTGTAGGGCTTTACCTGGAGCACCGATGGAGACATTTTTGTTGGTGAGGGGCCTACAGAACTCCATTCTGGCCTTTATGGGATATAAAACCAGGGTGGAAAGGAGTAACCAGTGTGGCTGGAAGCAGAGCATGGTGTCTGGGACTGCAAGGTGATGTAGCTGTGCAGAGGAACAGAAAATTCCTGAGCTATGTGTCAAACCTCAGGGTTGAATTCCCACAGGATGGGATTTCTTTGATCATTATTGAATGTGTTCTTAAGACATCTACAAACACCCAAGAGACAAGTGTAACTCCTGGGTCAAAACCAAATAGCAAACAAACCTTTACAACAAATTTGCACTCAACACTTAACACACAAGATTCAGCCAACAGCACCCTTCCCTGCTCTATGTGTGTGCAGCGTTTATATGCTGTATCCTATGTGTGTATTTGTGCTGTTACTTTCCTGCTGCCCTAGGACTCGTACAAGCTGTTAGCCTACACCTGAGGGCGAAGGACTGGCAGCTCCTCCAGGTTCGAGCGGGCGAAAGGAGAGAGCTGGCACCTTACCTGGCGGGGCACAAGGGCGTCCTCTGCAGCCCCCGGACCGGGCTGGCCCCTCACCCCCTCCGCGGTGCCTCTCCGTCAGCAGAAAGGAGGCAAAGACAGTCAGGGACCCCTCGCCTCAAGTCACCGGCCCTCGCCCCTGTCCGCCTACAGCAAGGGCCGCGGCGGGCTCGTTACTGCCCTGCCCCGCTCCGGGAACGGGACCCGACACCGCTCTCGCCGGGAGGAGATGGAGGCACGAAGGCAGCCCCGGGCTCTGAAGGGGGGTGATGCGGGGCGGTGAGCCGGCGGGCTCGGCGCGGCCCTGCCCCCCAACCGCGGCGGGCGGCGCCCTGGGCTCCCGCGTCC